CATCATCATCATCTAGCCACACCATTCTCTATTACATAGTCACACAGGTCCGCTCCTCGCATAGATTATGTGCTTATTATAATGCTAATTTTATAGTCAGGTTAATCACAGTGGGTCATGTACCTGTGCATATTATGGTTGAGCCACCCCCGGCTGAGTTATATTGTGTGCTTATGACAGCAATTCGGCTCGATTCAATCTGTTGAAGCGAATCCTCACTTCCTGGGCGTTTGAGTTTCCTCATCGGAAGTTGAACTAAACATGCTTGTTGGATGTTTGTCATAACTTCTGATCACGTGTGAGCCGAAGAATTGTCAAAATTTGCTCTCTGCTTGCCAAATCTGTCTTTAAATAACAGACATCTCCACACAAGTCCGTCGGATCAATGTTTTTAAACTGAGGCATCCAGAGATTCACGTTTAAATCTCAATTGTTTCAAACGAGTCAGTTTGGAGTGTTTGAATTGATTGTGTTGTCGGGTGATTTACAATCAGTTATCATTCCAATTATTGCAATCTTCACTAATATAACATGTGCACTTCCAAAGTTGCTCGACACTATTCCTCATGGTGAAATTATACGAGACAAAGCCGAAAGATCGTAAGATCGTATTAAATGAACATTCGATATGCGTTCCACACCACATAATTCAACTCGAGCCTTCCAGTTTAAAAAACAGATCATTGATCAAAGGAGCAGCTCAAATATTTTAATTCTGTTCTGCCGGCTCTGTTTTTATAGTTCTCCCCTACTTAACGTAACTCCTCCTCTTCTCCTCCTCTCTTCTCCGTTTAGAGGAGGAGAGAAGTTGTGTCATTAGTCTCCAGTCTTATTGTGCGCCTGTCTGAGACGTTGTTGTCAGAACGGGATATGTTGCACTAGGTTTTAATGTTGCTCTATCCTGTCTGTGTAATTTTAGATTATTTTAATCTAATCATTAATTGTGAATAATTAATTAATTGTATAGTTAGATTTGGTTACTGATGAGTTGCGGGGAAGTGATGTAAATCTGTTTCCGCTATAACAGCGGTATTCGAATTTAGCACGCTGAATAATTAATAAACGTCACGTGCCAACCTAAATTAACGTTGTCTCCCCGCCCGTAGTAATTATCATGATCTGTAGTAGTTGTACAGCAATACTAAGGTAATGGAACTACTGCACGCTGAATAATCAATTTCCGCAGTAGTCCCATTACGTTAGTATTGCTGTACAACTACTACAAAAGTAATCCCGATAACACTCGACCTCTGCCTGATCCAGAGGATGTCACCATTTTAACTTCACACAGACATCGAACACTGTAAGAAGATGACGATCAGACCTCGTTAATTATCATGATCCATGTTATTCGAGCAGCATAACATACTTGTTAAAGCTCCATCAACCGTAACAACCACTTCCAAAACCACTCAGAAGCTATAGCTGCTCGCCATATCAAGCTACGTAGCGTACAATACACAATACCATGAGAAGAAATGCGATATCAGCATGATATAATCATTAACCACATTAGTAAGTAGTATACTAGATGACATTTGATAAGGTTATTTTCTATATAGCATGCCACTACTCCGTCAATGTTTGACTCAAGACTTCGTGTTTTCTGAACAAAGATCGATTAATATCAGTCCATCTGGCGATTATCGTCGATTATGCCTAACTTTGAGGACGATTATGATCGATTATGCCTGCACTCAACGTCGATTATAATATAGCCGAATCCAAAATGGTTCATCGATGTATTACAGTCGGGTAACATTAAGATATTATTATGAGCGTAGCAGTAAAATATCTCATTTCCGGGCAAAGCTCGCTACTGGACACTGGACAGCTATTGAGCTTGGATCGGTTAGACGTATTGCTTTGTGTTACACTTGCTGCTGCTTCTGTATGCCTTTACTAATGTTTGTTGCCAGCCACGACTGTTGTTTTTTTGCCAGTTGCAACCCTTTCCACTATCTTCCTCTGACCTCTTCCAGTTTTTACGCTCATCTTCTTGCGTATCTTTATAATTGTGATATCAATTTTCTCTATTAGTAGAACAGTAGATTTGTAGGTAATGAGCCCACTTTTCACCTTTATAAGCACTCTGTTTAGTGTTTACTTGCCGGGTATGATCTAACTCTAACTCGTTTACCTGCGTCCATTGTTACTTTATTGCTTCTTTGTTTCCTTTATTTCCTCGCGGTTTATTTCATCTTCGTTCACAGTTTCTATGCGACTAATTACTGTTGAACAAGTTTCTGTACGATCAGTATAGAAACTTCAACGTTTAACAGCTCTGATCTGTGTTTCTCATTGCAATATCTTGCACGCACCTACACAATGTATATTCCCGGAACCCTGTATTGAAGTGTAGTAGCAGGGTGTATTGAAGTGTAGTAGCAGGGTGTTTCCTGGGTTGTAATTAGTACAGCCCCTCTTGTGTCCCTACTTGTTGTGCCTACTACTACTAGTGTGTACTGAGTAGTAGTGTTAGTGTTTGTAGTGTGGCTGGTATTGTTGTAGAGGAGATGGCCACTTTGTCCTATGAGGCTAGCTGATATGGAATCTGACATGAAGTTTGTAGAAACTAGAATCTAATAATCTGATTCTCACGTCGAGTGATTAGAATTTTCCGTCATACACACATTTTGTAATTGAATTTAAAACAATGTTAATCAGCATGGCATTTTACGGACACAGACATTGTTTCTTGTTTTGATTTGCCACTGAATTCCTCCTCAAATTTGTAAACTCTAACTCTTCAGTCCTCGCATTCTAACTCTATACATGAATATTTTAACTAATTAAAATGCCCAGATCGTAGTACTGTTAGTACACAAGAGGCGACGTCCAGACTCAACAAAGTTTGTATTAGTAAGTAGGTATTACCAATATTGTATTAGTAAGTACAATTATAGATCTAGTATATTCGATCATACTTTATATTTCGTGATATCGGCTATGCGTGATACTTCCAGCATTTGTGCATCCTGCAACAACGTCGAACTTGTAGCATTAGTAGAATGGAATTTGCCGTTTAAAGAATTAGTGAGTCTACTCTCGATCTTGTAATTATATTTTGTAGAGCTTGTGAAAATATTTATTCGCATTGGAACTCGGAAGAAGTCTACGCAGTGCCCACCCAGCCTTCCATTCTATTAATAGATTTATTTCCGAAGGAATTTAAAACATTGTCTCAATGATGGATTCTTTCTCCTGTCTGGCATTTCAATTTGCAGTTTCGCTAGATTTCTTAGTAATTTCAAAGTTATCCACCTAAAAGTTACATATATTGCATTCATCTAGGGGTGAAAATTGGTCGCTCCCTCTGTTCCAACAGGGTGTTAATTACCATGGTAACGTCAAGTGTACACAACGCACGCTAGGAAGGAGTACCAATGAGCATTAACAACATAACAAGTCGCCACACCGCTTTATCATGTACATGTTTTAGTGTACTAACCGTGTTGGGGGGGAGGGTTATAGTACACAACCTTGCTATTAAATAGTTAGTTAATTAGTTAATTAGTTAATTAGTTAATTAGTTAATTAGTTAATTAGTTAATTAGTTAATTAGTTAATTAGTTAATTAGTTAATTAGTTAATTAGTTAATTAGTTAATTAGTTAATTAGTTAATTAGTTAATTAGTTAATTAGTTAATTAGTTAATTAGTTAATTAGTTAATTAGTTAATTAGTTAATTAGTGTTGGGTACTCTATTTAGTGGAGTGCTATTATTAGTAGCTTACTAGTAGCTTATTAGTGGGTAATTAGTGTACTAGGCACTCTTTCTTTGTTTGGTTATAATACACGTCCCAGATCTCGTATTGGAAAACAATCCAACTCAAAGTTTGAGTGTAAATACGTACTCTGGTAGTGGAGTATTATTAAGTGTTATCTTTTCAATGATGGTGTTACCGAACTTAACTTTATTTTTATAAATATTTGCAATCTTTTGACCGTTTTTGTTGTTGATGAAGTTAATGTCATTCGAATCATTTCAAGAAATATAATGAATTAATGACTGCAGATCCGTCTATCGTCAGATAACCATGATATTGAGAATGGTAAATATGTTGTTGGAATGATCGCTTATATTCAGTATTCACCTCGGTTGAGTTAATATTTACATAAATATGTGGACGTAAGACTGGTAATTACAATTTACTAATCACGTGTAATTTAGTGCTTGTAGAACTATCGTCACAGACCACAGTTACTAATTAGCTTCCAGCATTGATTGACCAATCAAATCACAGATACCATTTTCACTATAACGGTTCCCCTCCCAATCAATATGCAGATCTATAATAGAACTATTATATCAGACTGTGCAGTAAATAGCTAAACGTTTTCCTGCTATTAAAAGTTTTTATGAATTCACTCTAGTAATACATTTTTTAATCTCCTATGCCAATTACGGCTAACCTGGTAAAATAATGTGTTTATAATTAATGCAATAAATATCATCATACATTGCGTTAAGTGATGAAAGCTGATTTTCGACATTTACAGTAAAATACGGCTCTTCTTTTTCTTATTAAATTACTGAAATTCTGGTCTTTTGTGTCTTTTGTGATTTTATTTTGCGCTTCTTTAGACTAAAGGCGACTAGCAGGCATTTCAGCTACTATACACCTGAATCCTGGAACTCTCTTAAAGGAGAGCCGCTCAGGCATGGGCACCTTATGGCTTGTCGTGTAAATTATTTAATTATATCTTATTAAATATCTTTGCCGCATAGGAGAGGGGTAGTAAATACTGTGTTTTTAGCTGGTTGCCTTTCATTCGTCAGATAAACGCTTCATGAATAACTGAACGCTACTTTTCCAGGGGACATTGGAACAGTGAGATTCTGTTACTGATTTTAGTTTAATTGTTACCTGATTCAAGAATGTTTGTACATGAAATCAGGCAGTAGATGAGGTTATATCCCTAACAATCTCTTCTAACCCACTTTTAAATTATTCAATCATTAATTGAAAATAACTATTAATTTTAAAGTCTATTTGAAGGACATGAGTGATGTTAAACTGCAGAGGTTTATCTCTAAGAAAGCTTGGCGAGGGTATAACGGGGAGAAAGTGTTGAAGATCCGGGAACAGTATCCAGATATAGACCCGTATCTTCACACTGAGATTGTCTTGGATTGGATATCTGCCAAGAAACCTAGACAGATGGTTGTCACTGGTGAGAAATCTCTTTTTGTATTTCAAATTCAAGTCGTTGTCTCCATCATTTCATAAAATTAAACCTTCATTCGAAACTTTTTACTGGAAATAGCATTTTAAATTAAGACAGACCACCCTGATGTAACCTAACATCGGCTCTTTTTCCAGACTTCTGGGACTGCTCAGTGCAACTGTACCTGAACAGCGTGTACCAGGACCTGATGAGACAGCACCTGTCAGCCCGCAAGTACGAGGTATCCTACGTGTGTCGCACACACGAAGTGGGCGAGCTACAAACATGCCAATCATTCACCCTGGATAACACCCAGATAGCAGATCTCATTGAGGGACAGAGTGTTCAGTTGAGGAACACGTGCAATTTCGGACGGTTTTGTGAGAGTGACACTGATCACGTGGTTAATATCAAACTGGAGGGTTCGCCCACGTGCTCGGTGCTGATTGATGATGCGTCATCTCCGGTAGATGGACACGCCCATCTGGCCTTGGGCTACAAACATTGGTTCATCATTAAACCGGAGAGTTGTGAGCTGGTCTCACTGTGTTTATCCAGTGTGGGCAACTTAACGAGTCTGCTCAAGAAGAGCAAACAGTGCAAACTTTATGCACTCATGTTAAATTGTGATAGTGTTCTGAAATGAGAAGACTTCCCAGCGGGAGACTGCTCTTTATTTATTTGCAGTTCTAACTTCTTAACAATCATATTGTGTACTACAAGACAAATGGAGTTATTCTCTTAAAGCCCTCAAAAGAGAACTCAGAACTCTAAGAAAACTAATGATCAGACAGCTCAAAACGTAAGAAAAAACAATCGTAACCTTGATAACCATAGTAACCATGGTAACCATGGTAAAATTACCTTGAGCATTGACGAGAGCACGGCACTGCAGTGATGCTGTTTGGGACTAGTACGCGACTTGTTCCACAGAGAGGTAGTCAGCAGGTGGAGGGTGTTTATCTGGATGTCGTGGGAGGGTACGAAGGATTTAGGGGGTCGCTCCTCCAGGAAGGAACACATTGTGAAGATGATGGTGTGCTCCAGGGAGTGGATGGAGATCAGCATCTTCATCAGCTGAGAGGGGAGTTAGTAGCGTTAAGGCTCTTTTTTTAAAGATTTACGGAATTGTATGTATATTGTGTACGTTATGAAAACTGTTAGGAGCGTATAATTTATATCAGAATGAAGTTTGTTAACAAGTATTGTAAATACAATTATTTATGTTTATTTTATTTTCAGATATGAAAATATTTTCTGTCACATTCTACACGATGGTTTCAATGTACGTAGATTCGTGAAATATGCTAATGATGCAGTCTACCAAAGTAAAATTAATCATGTTGATACTCAATACATTATACGTCAAACTAATTATCATAATTACTATACCGTAATTACCATAATATAATTACCGATTTAAGAGACTGAGAGGCGGGGTGGGCGACACCAGGTGAGATGTCAGAGGGTATAACACACCGCACACTACAAATATACATCATCATACAGTGTATGCAGGAGGGGGGTACAATAGCATACTGGACCACCACTTCTATGTAGTTCAAACATTCCTGGATCTGTGGAGATATTATTCAGTGGAATTATTGGAATCTAAAATCAGGAAACTGATTGTAAGAAACTGGTCAATTCTAGAAGGGATAAAGTTATTGAACTCAAGGAAGTTGTGTAATGGCTCAAATTTAGCTGAATGTTGTGCAGCCGCATCTGGGGTATGGCTGCAAAGTGAACCATAACACAAATTCCTTGGAGTATGAGGCCTTTAAGAATGAGAAGAAGTGCCGACGAACCTCTATATAACCTCTAACTAACCTCTAACAAACCACTAACTAACAGTAACGACTAACCTCTTCAATAGGCTGTTTCTTGTTGGGATAGTAACACTCCCTGAATACCGCGCACAACAACTGGGTGTCAATGTAGGTGGCGTTATTCTTCGTCATATCAGCCAGGAACTTCAGTAAGTCTACCGACTTCTTGCGAGCAATCATCACTGGTAGCAGCTCTTCCAGATAGCTTCCTGGAGAGACGGCCCGGCGTTTACGATACAAGATATCTTTAATGGCATTAAAACAGGGAAACATTTCAGATTATTTAATGCACGATTAGTATTGACTTGTCCAGTCAAATGAAAAAGGAATAATGATAGAACGATAAGTACGAACAAAGGGTAGCCGGCCGTAAACGATGTCATTTAAGATGAAGAAATTAGAAATATCTAATTTTTAAGTTGGTAAATCGATGATAAGGGCCAGTGGTTCCCATGATTATGTGTGAGAACTTGATCAGAAGCCTAATTTTATTGGTTACCATGTCATAATGGTACGTGAGTTATCGCAATAATTTGATAAGATTAAGTTATTTATAATAAAACACGGAATTTTACTTTAATCTCGCGAACATTTATATATCTTAGTGCCGAAATTGTTTAAAATATACAAAATTTGTGGAATCGGGAGAATCGTGAAATCACGCCGACTAGAAGGAATCCCGGAACATGTAAGTGTGGCAAAATTCTGGCACTAATTACGCGAGTTATTATAGGGTTGCGTGTGGGCAGTTACTTCTAGGCCACCCTGTATTATTGATTTACTAAGTTTTACTAGCTAAGCCCTTTGATAAACCTTACGTACATCATGTTTATAATATTATTAAAATAAAGATGGTAACTTCAGTAAAACTAGATAATTTAGACCGCCCCGAATAACCAAAAACCCCGACTCACCAAGCCAAGACGCCCAAGAGAGCTGAGCGACATGTTTTCTGATATGCGACAGTTCATCATGTATAACCATAACCATAACCAGGCAAGATTATCTGTGTTGATGGGCTTATAAAACATCGTCACATTAGATTAACAGTTCAAGTTTAATGACTCCTTCATTGCATCATATTATGACGTATCAATCAGTAAATTTACTGATACAGTATGTATTTAAATGACTACGAAATTACGGAGGTCTAGGTAACACGTGGACCATGAAAAAGGGGAAACGTTGCAGAACAAAATTAACAGTAAGGTACAAAGATTGCTATCTACTGCGGCAAAAATTACTGCGTTTAACGATGTAAACTTCATCGTCCAATAGGGGGAGAGTGTGTCGACTTTTTACAAGTCAATAGAATCGCAGCATTTTGCAACGCTGACGACTGTGCAGTGTGCTCATTAGATTACTTTACGAACTCAAAGCGTATCAGATTACAACAGGAACGCAAAGGTTGCCACTTACTCCTGTTGCTAAATTCTATGATCTAAGAATTCATGTTTCTGACGAAAATTCCGTGTATTATTATATTATGCAAGAATCTATGATATTATATCATAAAAATACATGTAATGTCTAGAAAATGTACCTATTTGTTCTTCAATAAAGTGAAGGTTGCTTCCATTGTTAGTGAGAGATTGAAGAAGGTTGAAGCAGGGCTCTAAATCGTCAGGATGGCAGGATTTAATGTACTGGAACAGTGTCTGTCTCATGCTACCCAGCTGGTCGTACTGGAGATAACCATCACAATTACAATTCAGTTACAAATAACGATGGTCATGTGGTTAAGTTAAGGTCCTAGCTACACAGGTTTTACTTATTTTTGCAATTTTGATCCTAATTTAATTAATGAAATCTAGATTTATGAATTACCATATGGAAACCCACGTGATTGCTGACGAGCGCACAGAGGAAGCCAATAACAGCATGTCTAGCGTCTACCGGACCCTCTTTTGCTATGTCTTGTATAGCTACCCACAGGGACTTTATACCATTCTGAACATAGCTGTGGTAAGGAGGGTTACCTGGTTACCTGGTTACCTGGTTACCTGGTTACCTGGTTACCTGGTTACCTGGTTACCTGGTTACCTGGTTACCTGGTTACCTGGTTACCTGGTTACCTGGTTACCTGGTTACCTGGTTACCTGGTTACCTGGTTACCTGGTTACCTGGTTACCTGGTTACCTGATTACCTGGTTACCTGGTTACCTGGTTACCTGGTTACCTGGTTACCTGGTTACCTGGTTGGATAGCCACCCACAGGGACTTTATACCATTCTGAACATAGCTCTGGTAAGGAGGGTTACCCCAAATTCTTGGTTCAGGATTTAAACAGCCACAAGTTGGATTTGAATGTTTGTGTAAATATTTAACAAAAACTGACTAGAGCGTACTTTTTCCAGTCGCTTTTCTTCGACCTTCTCAACTAAGATTTTCAGCAGTTTCAGCCGGTTCTGCAAGGTTCCTTTGCCGAGTTCCTGAATTTTTGTTGAGTTATTATCAGGCATTTTAGAAATCATAATTCATAGTATTTCCATGGGACTAAGTAGTGGTTACACTTTATTTTAGGGCCATGAGCAAGAGCTACATTTGAATCTACTGAGAGATTCTCAAGAATTTTAGAGAGTTGAGCTACCATTAAAACGTTGTTACTCTTGAGAATTGAAAAGAATGTGTCTAACATTAAGAGTATTGGTGTCTAAGTTGAACTCCTCAGGAGGTGACCGTGCACCACTGACGGACCCACTCCGCTGACCTCCACCAAAGAACGAAGAAAACTTGTTCCGTATGTTCGTATCCGACCTTTTTGACATTCACATTCCTGGCCAGTATGGTTGGAAAGAGGCGGCGGTGTTGGTCCCGGCTCTAACGCTACTGGCAGTTGTGGAATGTTTAGAAGAGAATTTAACAAATATTTTAAAATTTTTATTGATCTATACTGACCAATATCTGTGATAAGAGATTAGTAACTATTAATTCTCAGTCTAATGGACATGAAATATCAATGATCATAAAGAAAACCCAAATATTTTGATGATGAACTGAAAATGTAAATTTTAATAATTTATATCTAACATTATTTATTCAACAAATTCAGACTAACAATATAAAATAATTTACAACTTTAATAAAACGACAGACAATATTTAAAACCCATTCATTGTTCAACGCAATAAATTATGATCAATTTAAAAAGCAAACAAAGAGTAACAAGGTTACAACATAATTAATTATAATAGCAAGGAATTTCAATTATTGTTCGTCATATTGCATGTCAAAAAAAGATGAATATGAAATAATTCATAAATACTGTAGAGTGAATAAATCGTATTAATTTAAAGCAATGGCGTGCATGGAAATTTAACGAAATGTGATATATCTTGTGCTTAATGATGAAGGAGTTACAATACATGATATAATTTTTGATTGATGTTTGTAAATTAATCATACATTAGTTTCAATAGCCCCTCTTGCGGCCCCTGGCACCTCTAGTTGCTGCAGTTTGTAAGTGAGCGATCTGCTGTCTCATTCCCTGTATCTCGTGTAAATGCTCCATGCGCTGCGCTGCCAACTTGCGCTTGTACACATCAACGTTGTGTGTTGATACTGCTGCCCGCTGCACGTTCTGGAGCTTCTCTTCAAATTCAAGCTGCATCTGAGATTATTGGGTGTAAGACCTTACTAACACATTCCTTCATTTTTCTAGAGTACCATTTTCGAAAATTGTAATATTTTAGAACTAAATTAACTCCATTTAATCTACCTTTGTACGTTCCTCAGCTCTCTCCCGCTCCATCTCAGAGCTCCTCTCCTTCAACTTGTACCTGGTTACCTGGTTACCTGGTTACCTGGTTACCTGGTTACCTGGTTACCTGGTTACCTGGTTACCTTTGTACGTTCCTCAGCTCTCTCCCGCTCCATCTCAGAGATCCTCTCCTTCAACTTGTACCTGGTTACCTGGTTACCTGGTTACCTGGTTACCTGGTTACCTGGTTACCTGGTTACCTGGTTACCTTTGTACGTTCCTCAGCTCTCTCCCGCTCCATCTCAGAGATCCTCTCCTTCAACTTGTACCTGGTTACCTGGTTACCTGGTTACCTGGTTACCTGGTTACCTGGTTACCTGGTTACCTGGTTACCTGGTTACCTGGTTACCTGGTTACCTGGTTACCTGGTTACCTGGTTACCTGGTTACCTGGTTACCTGGTTACCTGGTTACCTGGTTACCTGGTTACCTGGTTACCTGGTTACCTGGTTACCTGGTTACCTGGTTACCTGGTTACCTGGTTACCTGGTTACCTGGTTACCTGGTTACCTGGTTACCTTTGTACGTTCCTCAGCTCTCTCCCGCTCCATCTCAGAGATCCTCTCCTTCAACTTGTACCTGGTTACCTGGTTACCTGGTTACCTGGTTACCTGGTTACCTGGTTACCTGGTTACCTGGTTACCTGGTTACCTGGTTACCTGGTTACCTGGTTACCTGGTTACCTGGTTACCTGGTTACCTGGTTACCTGGTTACCTGGTTACCTGGTTACCTGGTTACCTGGTTACCTGGTTACCTGGTTACCTGGTTACCTGGTTACCTGGTTACCTTTGTACGTTCCTCAGCTCTCTCCCGCTCCATCTCAGAGATCCTCTCCTTCAACTTGCACATTTCCTCCTGCAACTCCTCCTCCTTCTTCTCCTGCAGCTCCCTTACCTCCTCTGTCTCCTTTTCTTGCTCTTCCTTCAACTCTCTAACCCTGTCCGTTATTAACTTTTCATAGTCTCTAACAGTCTCCTCGTGACTCCGCTTAGCTTCTGTAAATTTAATCTGGAGGTCTTCATGCTCAGCTGTTAGCTTCTTATGCTCCTGCTTTAGTTTTTGGTCCATTTGAAGAGAGATTATCTTGTCCAGTACATTGTTTTCGTTAACATCCTTCTGGTTCAACAAGTCATTGTGTGACTGTTCTCTTTCTTTTAGAAGCGCCCCAAGGGTGGAGTTGTGTTGTTCTAAAGATGTTATTCTGTTTTGGAGGGTTTCGTTTTCGTTCTTGAGAGTTGTGACGTAAGCCATCGAAATCTTGATGTGTTGGGCTAATTTATCAAGATCCATGACTGCCTTTTGGGGACGTTTGTGTCGCTAGATGTAAGGGATTTGTGAATTACAATATAACAGTATATTTATTGTGAAGAGTATTATGATTATATCCTATGCAATGTTATGACTTATATGGTATAATTATAGTTAAAAGTTATTTACTTTTCGAAAATCCAAAAAACATATTAAAAGCTATATTATATAAAACATAGCAGTTTAAGAACGAAGGAATACAAAAAAAAGCTACCTCGAAAACGAACTACCTTTGATACCAAGTCATATTATGGCAATATCACATATTTTCATCTTATCTTAAATGTAGTGATTATTTTAAAATTCTTTAGATAAAAACTATCTTCAATAAAATTATAAATATACAAATAGTCAATATTGTGAATTAAATTGCATTTTATATTAACTGTTCTTAAAAAACAAAAAGTAACTACTGAATGCTTAAATAATAAAATAGTACGATATGCTTGAAACTGTGATATGATATAAAATGTGATGAATGATGACGTTGAAAATATCCATCGTTTTTTAATGGGTATTCAAGATCTAATTCTAAATTCGCAGAAACATTACAACGAGCTAAATCTCAGAGAGCTTCCTGGGGGCATTCCAAGCTTGGTGTTTCTCAACTTCTTTATGTGATACAGACGGAGGGGTTCTGGATAGTGCGATCATGAGGTCTTCTGATGTCACTCCTCTTATCGATATCTGGTTAGATAAAAATTATTGCATTTCTATTAGTATTAGTCTAGTATTAGTTTTAAAAATCTTATTAAAGTTAAGATTTCGCCAGAAATATTCATCACATTGCTATTCCAGAAGGCAACCTTGAAAGTAACAACAAACATTAAGTATCTTACCTGAGAAGGTTTAATCTGCTCTATAGGTAGCTGTATACATAAACTATCCTACCTGAGAAGGTTTAATCTGCTCTATAGGTAGCTGTATACATAAACTATCCTACCTGAGAAGGTTTAATCTGCTCTATAGGTAGCTGTATAACTATCCTACCTGAGAAGGTTTAATCTGCTCTATAGGTAGCTGTATACTAACTATCCTACCTGAGAAGGTTTAATCTGCTCTATAGGTAGCTGTATATAACTATCCTACCTGAGAAGGTTTAATCTGCTCTATAGGTAGCTGTATACATAACTATCCTACCTGAGAAGGTTTAATCTGCTCTATAGGTAGCTGTATACATAACTATCCTACCTGAGAAGGTTTAATCTGCTCTATAGGTAGCTGTATAACTATCCTACCTGAGAAGGTTTAATCTGCTCTATAGGTAGCTGTATAACTATCCTACCTGAGAAGGTTTAATCTGCTCTATAGGTAGCTGTATACATTAACTATCCTACCTGAGAAGGTTTAATCTGCTCTATAGGTAGCTGTATAACTATCCTACCTGAGAAGGTTTAATCTGCTCTATAGGTAGCTGTATACATAAACTATCCTACCTGAGAAGGTTTAATCTGCTCTATAGGTAGCTGTATACATAACTATCCTACCTGAGAAGGTTTAATCTGCTCTATAGGTAGCTGTATACATAACTATCCTACCTGAGAAGGTTTAATCTGCTCTATAGGTAGCTGTATACATTAACTATCCTACCTGAGAAGGTTTAATCTGCTCTATAGGTAGCTGTATACATTAACTATCCTACCTGAGAAGGTTTAATCTGCTCTATAGGTAGCTGTATAACTATCCTACCTGAGAAGGTTTAATCTGCTCTATAGGTAGCTGTATACATAACTATCCTACCTGAGAAGGTTTAATCTGCTCTATAGGTAGCTGTATAACTATCCTTCCTGAGAAGGTTTAATCTGCTCTATAGGTAGCTGTATACATAAACTATCCTACCTGAGAAGGTTTAATCTGCTCTATAGGTAGCTGTATAACTATCCTACCTGAGAAGGTTTAATCTGCTCTATAGGTAGCTGTATACATTAACTATCCTACCTGAGAAGGTTTAATCTGCTCTATAGGTAGCTGTATAACTATCCTACCTGAGAAGGTTTAATCTGCTCTATAGGTAGCTGTATAACTATCCTACCTGAGAAGGTTTAATCTGCTCTATAGGTAGCTGTATACATTAACTATCCTACCTGAGAAGGTTTAATCTGCTCTATAGGTAGCTGTATACATTAACTATCCTACCTGAGAAGGTTTAATCTGCTCTATAGGTAGCTGTATACATTAACTATCCTACCTGAGAAGGTTTAATCTGCTCTATAGGTAGCTGTATAACTATCCTACCTGAGAAGGTTTAATCTGCTCTATAGGTAGCTGTATACATAAACTATCCTACCTGAGAAGGTTTAATCTGCTCTATAGGAAGCTGTATACATAAACTATCCTACCTGAGAAGGTTTAATCTGCTCTATAGGTAGCTGTATACATAAACTATCCTACCTGAGAAGGTTTAATCTGCTCTATAGGTAGCTGTATACATTAACTATCCTACCTGAGAAGGTTTAATCTGCTCTATAGGTAGCTGTATACATTAACTATCCTACCTGAGAAGGTTTAATCTGCTCTATAGGTAGCTGTATACATAAACTATCCTACCTGAGAAGGTTTAATCTGCTCTATAGGTAGCTGTATACATAAACTATCCTACCTGAGAAGGTTTAATCTGCTCTATAGGTAGCTGTATAAACTATCCTACCTGAGAAGGTTTAATCTGCTCTATAGGTAGCTGTATACATAAACTATCCTACCTGAGAAGGTTTAATCTGCTCTATAGGTAGCTGTATACATAAACTATCCTACCTGAGAAGGTTTAATCTGCTCTATAGGTAGCTGTATAACTATCCTACCTGAGAAGGTTTAATCTGCTCTATAGGTAGCTGTATAACTATCCTACCTGAGAAGGTTTAATCTGCTCTATAGGTAGCTGTAAACATAAACTATCCTACCTGAGAAGGTTTAATCTGCTCTATAGGTAGCTGTAAAACTATCCTACCTGAGAAGGTTTAATCTGCTCTATAGGTAGCTGTATAACTATCCTACCTGAGAAGGTTTAATCTGCTCTATAGGTAGCTGTATACATAAACTATCCTACCTGAGAAGGTTTAATCTGCTCTATAGGTAGCTGTAAACATAAACTATCCTACCTGAGAAGGTTTAATCTGCTCTATAGGTAGCTGTATAACTATCCTACCTGAGAAGGTTTAATCTGCTCTATAGGTAGCTGTATACATTAACTATCCTACCTGAGAAGGTTTAATCTGCTCTACAGGTAGCTGTATAACTATCCTACCTGAGAAGGTTTAATCTGCTCTATAGGTAACTGTATACATTAACTATCCTACCTGAGAAGGTTTAATCTGCTCTATAGGTAGCTGTATAACTATCCTACCTGAGAAGGTTTAATCTGCTCTATAGGTAGCTGTATAACTATCCTACCTGAGAAGGTTTAATCTGCTCTATAGGTAGCTGTATAACTATCCTACCTGAGAAGGTTTAATCTGCTCTATAGGAAGCTGTATAACTATCCTACCTGAGAAGGTTTAATCTGCTCTATAGGTAGCTGTATACATTAACTATCCTACCTGAGAAGGTTCAATCTGCTCTATAGGTAGCTGTATAACTATCCTACCTGAGAAGGTTTAATCTGCTCTATAGGTAGCTGTATAACTATCCTACCTGAGAAGGTTTAATCTGCTCTATAGGTAGCTGTATACATTAACTATCCTACCTGAGAAGGTTTAATCTGCTCTACAGGTAGCTGTATAACTATCCTACCTGAGAAGGTTTAATCTGCTCTATAGGTAGCTGTATACATAAACTATCCTACCTGAGAAGGTTTAATCTGCTCTATAGGTAGCTGTATACATAAACTATCCTACCTGAGAAGGTTTAATCTGCTCTATAGGTAGCTGTATACATTAACTATCCTACCTGAGAAGGTTTAATCTGCTCTATAGGTAGCTGTATACATAAACTATCTTACCTGAGAAGGTTTAATCTGCTCTATAGGTAGCTGTATAACTATCCTACCTGAGAAGGTTTAATCTGCTCTATAGGTAGCTGTATACATTAACTATCCTACCTGAGAAGATTTAATCTGCTCTATAGGTAGCTGTATAACTATCCTACCTGAGAAGGTTTAATCTGCTCTATAGGTAGCTGTATAACTATCCTACCTGAGAAGGTTTAATCTGCTCTATAGGTAGCTGTATACATTAACTATCCTACCTGAGAAGGTTTAATCTGCTCTATAGGTAGCTGTATACATTAACTATCCTACCTGAGAAGGTTTAATCTGCTCTATAGGTAGCTGTATACATAAACTATCCTACCTGAGAAGGTTTAATCTGCTCTATAGGTAGCTGTATAACTATCCTACCTGAGAAGGTTTAATCTGCTCTATAGGTAGCTGTATAACTATCCTACCTGAGAAGGTTTAATCTGCTCTATAGGTAGCTGTAAACATAAACTATCCTACCTGAGAAGGTTTAATCTGCTCTATAGGTAGCTGTAAAACTATCCTACCTGAGAAGGTTTAATCTGCTCTATAGGTAGCTGTATAACTATCCTACCTGAGAAGGTTTAATCTGCTCTATAGGTAGCTGTATACATAAACTATCCTACCTGAGAAGGTTTAATCTGCTCTATAGGTAGCTGTAAACATAAACTATCCTACCTGAGAAGGTTTAATCTGCTCTATAGGTAGCTGTATAACTATCCTACCTGAGAAGGTTTAATCTGCTCTATAGGTAGCTGTATACATTAACTATCCTACCTGAGAAGGTTTAATCTGCTCTACAGGTAGCTGTATAATAACTATCCTACCTGAGAAGGTTTAATCTGCTCTATAGGTAACTGTATACATTAACTATCCTACCTGAGAAGGTTTAATCTGCTCTATAGGTAGCTGTATAACTATCCTACCTGAGAAGGTTTAATCTGCTCTATAGGTAGCTGTATACATTAACTATCCTACCTGAGAAGGTTTAATCTGCTCTATAGGTAGCTGTATAACTATCCTACCTGAGAAGGTTTAATCTGCTCTATAGGTAGCTGTATACATAAACTATCCTACCTGAGAAGGTTTAATCTGCTCTATAGGTAGCTGTATACATTAACTATCCTACCTGAGAAGGTTTAATCTGCTCTATAGGTAGCTGTATACATAAACTATCTACCTGAGAAGGTTTAATCTGCTCTATAGGTAGCTGTATACATTAACTATCCTACCTGAGAAGGTTTAATCTGCTCTATAGGTAGCTGTATACATTAACTATCCTACCTGAGAAGGTTTAATCTGCTCTATAGGTAGCTGTATACATAAACTATCCTACCTGAGAAGGTTTAATCTGCTCTATAGGTAGCTGTATACATTAACTATCCTACCTGAGAAGGTTTAATCTGCTCTATAGGTAGCTGTATACATAAACTATCTTACCTGAGAAGGTTTAATCTGCTCTATAGGTAGCTGTATACATTAACTATCCTACCTGAGAAGGTTTAATCTGCTCTATAGGTAGCTGTATACATTAACTATCCTACCTGAGAAGGTTTAATCTGCTCTATAGGTAGCTGTATACATTAACTATCTTACCTGAGAAGGTTTAATCTGCTCTATAGGTAGCTGTATACATTAACTATCCTACCTGAGAAGGTTTAATCTGCTCTATAGGTAGCTGTATACATAAACTATCCTACCTGAGAAGGTTTAATCTGCTCTATAGGTAGCTGTATACATTAACTATCCTACCTGAGAAGGTTTAATCTGCTCTATAGGTAGCTGTATACATAAACTATCCTACCTGAGAAGGTTTAATCTGCTCTATAGGTAGCTGTATAACTATCCTACCTGAGAAGGTTTAATCTGCTCTATAGGTAGCTGTATAACTATCCTACCTGAGAAGGTTTAATCTGCTCTATAGGTAGCTGTATAACTATCCTACCTGAGAAGGTTTAATCTGCTCTATAGGTAGCTGTATACATAAACTATCCTACCTGAGAAGGTTTAATCTGCTCTATAGGTAGCTGTATACATAAACTATCTTACCTGAGAAGGTTTAATCTGCTCTATAGGTAGCTGTATAACTATCCTACCTGAGAAGGTTTAATCTGCTCTATAGGTAGCTGTATAACTATCCTACCTGAGAAGGTTTAATCTGCTCTATAGGTAGCTGTATACATAAACTATCCTACCTGAGAAGGTTTAATCTGCTCTATAGGTAGCTGTATACATTAACTATCCTACCTGAGAAGGTTTAATCTGCTCTATAGGTAGCTGTATACATTAACTATCCTACCTGAGAAGGTTTAATCTGCTCTATAGGTAGCTGTATACATTAACTATCCTACCTGAGAAGGTTTAATCTGCTCTATAGGTAGCTGTATACATTAACTATCCTACCTGAGAAGGTTTAATCTGCTCTATAGGTAGCTGTATACATTAATTATCCTACCTGAGAAGGTTTAATCTGCTCTATAGGTAGCTGTATAACTATCCTACCTGAGAAGGTTTAATCTGCTCTATAGGTAGCTGTATAACTATCCTACCTGAGAAGGTTTAATCTGCTCTATAGGTAGCTGTATAACTATCCTACCTGAGAAGGTTTAATCTGCTCTATAGGTAGCTGTATAACTATCCTACCTGAGAAGGTTTAATCTGCTCTATAGGTAGCTGTATACATAAACTATCCTACCTGAGAAGGTTTAATCTGCTCTATAGGTAGCTGTATACATAAACTATCTTACCTGAGAAGGTTTAATCTGCTCTATAGGTAGCTGTATACATAAACTATCTTACCTGAGAAGGTTTAATCTGCTCTATAGGTAGCTGTATAACTATCCTACCTGAGAAGGTTTAATCTGCTCTATAGGTAGCTGTATAACTATCCTACCTGAGAAGGTTTAATCTGCTCTATAGGTAGCTGTATAACTATCCTACCTGAGAAGGTTTAATCTGCTCTATAGGTAGCTGTATAGCACCAGCACTCTCTGCAGCACAGGGAGACCACTTAGCGTACCGTAGTGCCCAGTGTGTAGTAGTCGTGAGTTCCCGGACTGCTATGAGACCTGCATCTGTTACAGCACACTTCAGGTCGCTGCCACTGTACCCTTCTGTTGCTCGTTCTAACATCTCCCAGTCATCGTCTGTAATGTAAAGCAGGGGGTTATTGGTTATCTCTACTATATTTCAGAGAATTCCCTTTGTACAATCTTTGTACGTACGACCGCCCACGTGCAAATTAGGTAAAAAGCAAAAGGTTGCAAAGTAACCATAGTAACGAGGGTTGTTACACGCACGTGCACGTGCAAAGATTGTTAAAACGGCATTTTTTATCGGTTTTGTTGATATTACGTTGTGTTTAGTGCGAGCAACATTTTAATCGGCTGTATCTTCGGTTGTGTAGGATATTTTTTGACGCGATTAAAACTGACTGCCAAAGAATACTATTAGGTTCCTCCCTGTGACCACGGGTTTTCTAGTATAATATAAAACATCAATTGACAGCTGAAATCGTCCTCAGTGGATACGTGGATACTGGAACAATCTTTGACCTTCGAGTGGTATTTAGATTTCTCTATGATAAACTAAAAGCAAACCAACTGGCAAATTAAGACAGTGAAAATAGTAGGAGTATGGAATGGGAGGGTCTTGTTCACGAGATTTACCGAATTGCTGTTGTTCTATTTTATTCAATTTCCTTGTAGCGCTTATTGTTTGCCCATTGTTTTATGAAGGATTATGTGATTAAGGGGGAAGCCGAGAATCTTTGCTTGTGCCGTGTATAAGTGTGCGAACATGAATTTATCGAGGTATATGGCATCGCAACTAGGTAATTTTCTTGTAAGATGGTAATTATATAACTGAATGTTGGACTCAAAGCTGTAAAAGGTTATGCTTATTATTTGCTGCAAGGTATGACTATGAGCGATAACCATTTTTATCCACTAAGAGCAACCCAGAACGCTTGCAGGTAACGTACTATGAGTATAATTTAACCAATTATAGGGTATGTCAGCTGACAATGCTTTATGCTTTATCCATGATGATATAGTATCTAACAGGCTACTTTAGAGGGTTCTTTCTAGTTTACCAGTGGCTAGGGGTGCTCTTGATCACAGTGCTGGCAAGCACGAGCGGTGTCTTTATTGGGGGTATACTATGTACCCCTTTACTATTGTACCCCCTTTACTTTTATACCCCCTTTACTATTATAACCCCTTTACACCCCCTTTGGTACACGTCGGAAGCCTCTTTCGTGCACGCGAAGCGTGCACTCCGGCCGGAGGCGGCGGCCGGAGGCGGCGGCCGAAGGCCGCCGCCTCCGGCAGGAGTTTTTCAGGCATTAAGACTCATCGGGAGTCGTTCAGCAGATTTATTTTTAGTTCAAAACATTCTAATTTGATGTCAAAGATGACAGGAATAAAAAATAGTTATGTTCAGATTTTTAAGAAATTTGCATAAAATACTCGCCAGCACTGTTATACGAAATTCGGTAAAAAACCCAAAATCGCCATATTCAGGTGCCTTAAATACCATGTTAAAATTGAGTTAGAGATCTGAAACTTTGCAGGGCGTCTAGACGTTGACCAAATCGACTGCAAAAAAAGTTTCAGGTTTCAGGAGCATCTGGAAATGGGTTTTCTTGAACCCCTGTTTTACGACAGATTGTCGGGATATATATCTATCTATCTATCTATATACATATATATTCAGGGATAGACGCTTTGCCAGTCAATTATAGGCTATATTTAGGTGTCCGTCGATTCAGAAGCTTTAAAGATACAGCCATTTCGGACCACAGGTCTTGAAGATAATTGTTTAAACTTTAGTTTACATTATGTTAAAAAGTAATTTAACGTCATCATCACCACTTGATGACGTCATCAAGTTAACCATTTTTAAAACTTGATTTTTCACAAAGTAATCATTTTTCAAATCGATTTTACGCCATTAAGGAGTAATTTTATTCAAAATTTGAGGACATTTTTACCTTAGATAATTGTTTAAGCATTCTGAAAATCTACCGGAAAGTTTTTCTAGCTTGCTCCTTCATAAAGATATTCGCTATTGAAGTTATTGCTTTTTTAAAGAATAATTTTATAAAAACGCTAATTTTACGTTCTAGTATTCTCTGGTGTTACACCATCCCTTGGGTTGTGGAGCTCAATTTTGCTTCCTAAAGGTCTAAATTGTGTCATAGGCTAGTTTTAAAGTTGAAAATCGAAAAGTTGCACACGTGGGGACACGCCCAAATTGATAGAAAATTGCTAAAATCACTGAAAATTGCTGTTTTCACCAATTTCCGTCAACTTTGGAGTGCCGTTGTGATAACAGTTCTTCTTGAAATACTTTAAAACTTTTCATGCTTATCAAACTATATATAAAACACCATCATGCAAAAATTTACGGTGATTCAATATTGGATGCGCACGCAACTTCCGCTCAAGGTTTGCACGCGCGAAAGGTTCAAATTTTGCTCATTCGTGATTTTGAACAAATTCTGCTTTGCCACGACAGTTCAATGTCATTATATATGAATTTAATGCCAACTTGAATGAGCATAAAGTGGCATATTCAGTCAGTGATCGACCGATATGCTTACCTAAACACAAGGAAATGTTTTTAAAGGAAAAATTTCGAAATTGTTGAAATCACCTCCTTATTAATATTAATGAAGTTATGAGTTTACATTTCGGCTTTGTAAAGTACCCTGACATTATATTATCAAAAAGAGATGATATTTGACCAAAACCCATAATCATGGGTAGAGTGGAGCGCTGCCAGTGTCTCTCTTTCCCAAACAAAAGGCAATGATATCAATTTGAATGACCGTTATCAAATGCAAAATGATACCGAGAATGAAATCGGTCGCTCGCTTTTCCCATTCATTTACAATTTAAATAGATTACATGTTATAAATCGAAACTTATTACAATTCGTAAGCCATGAATGAGTGGGAAAAGCGAGCGACCGATTTCATTCTCGGTATCATTTTGCATTTGATAACGGTCATTCAAATTGATATCATTGCCTTTTGTTTGGGAAAGAGAGACACTGGCAGCGCTCCACTCTACCCATGATTATGGGTTTTGGTCAAATTCCGTAATATATTTTTGTTGGACTATAGATTTTTCCATTCGAAATAGGTAAAGCAAAACAAAAAGCTGTTGACTTTTAGAAAAAAAAAACAAATTCCAACTTCAGATTTCTACAACATGTTCAAACATTTTTAATTTCTCATTAAAAAGTGAGGTATAGCAATAAAAAGTCCCAAATTTTCTCATCAATCCAAAGGTAAGGCAGCTGTTGAGTTAAAAGCGGTGACCGAACTATACGTGATTTTAATTTACTTGAGCGTTTTAATTACTCGATATCGTATAAATTCGTTACATTGGCAGGTGTCTGGCAGCTGTTAACAGTAATATTATAGCATAAAAGTAATAAGTATTTAAGTAAAAGTAATATAATATAACGAAATATTGCTCAGTTACTGAAACATGGCCATATTAACAATTTGACCTGCTTTACTTTAAACGAGTTTGATATCCTCATTAAAGATTGAATTACAGTGAGCCAAATTATGTTCAATCAATGTTCAATATCCAGTATCCACTAATGCTCAAAGGAATTGAGCACTTAGTGGATACTGGATATTGAACACTTGAAATTTGTCCGTATGAACATCTATGTACAAGATTCTTCACAGGCTTTCTTGGTCGATGAAACCAAACCTCTAGCCCTTGCAATAGAAATTGATGTCGAGTCTGTAGATTCAAGTGTATTATTCCTTCTTAGCACTACGTTGATGGTGAATTTTTGGAAGTGATTGTTTGTTAAGAAGTAGATAATTGGATTGGACCAAAATGAAAGGAACATCATAAAAGTCACGAGACGCAGGATGTAGTCAGTGTCATCCAAAGATTCCCCAGCTCCATGCAGTATGAAGTTGATGAAGTACGGAAACACAGAAATTAGGAAGGATGCGGTTACTAGAAGTACTATCACCACATTCTTCTTGTTTACTGGATTTCTCGTTTTCTTGACCGCATAGATCACTAGAAAAGTGTTCATAAGAAGCAAAGTCAGACAGGGCAATCCATTCAGAAGTATAGTCGTAAGATAATCAAAATACAAATGCCAGCTTTTAGGAAATGCTGTACGGTTCGACCAACACATGCATTGAGCACTCGAGAAATCAACAATAAAGATACGCTCAACTATGGCTCCGTAGAGGAAGTAGAAAGGAAGTATCATCGCCACAATGATAGTGATAACTGTTATGGACCACCGCTGTTTTTTGGAGCAATCTAGATTTCGAAGTGGGAATATACATCTCATTATTTTATTGAACGCCAAGGTATTTATCAAGAATACGTTAGCCACACACCCTGTGTACTTGTAGATGAACATCGCCTTGCAGAAAGTGTCTCCAAGAACCCATCGATTGTTCGCATAGAGAGATATGATGACAGGAACCAAGATAAGGATATTGTTAGCGATAAGATCTGACACTGCCAAGTTTTGTATGATCCAAACTGAGAGCTTGTCCAACTTGATAGCTTTGTGGTAAAATGTTGAGTAGATAACGAAGCTGTTTCCGAGAAGTCCCAGGAGTAAAGATGTGTGGCAACAGACTTGTGATAAAATGTTTGGTAGCGTCATATTTTCTACTAAAAAACAAATTCGTCACGGGTCAGCTTTAAGATAGAACACTGAATTTAGTGAACAATGTAAAATAGTGCCACAAGCGCAAGCTTTATACAACGATACACAATACAAATTCTTGTAGTCATTTATTTATGTCTAATTCAATCTTACAACTCTCAAGCCAGAAGTATTGTTTGACTGTTCAAGTGAAGGCATAATAATCTAAAACAATAGTAAAATTTTTCATATCAATCGTCTCGCTGTTGAACTGACTCCTCCAAAAGACGGAGAAACACGAGCTCGAACCTTCAGCTATATGATATAATATGTACTAAGTTCCAGGGGTGTAGGAAGGGGGGGGGCAGGGGGCGACCAACATCCCCCCCCCCCCATAAAATCTTGACAAGGGGCGGAAAGGGGCCAATATTTTTAGGCTCATTTGGACAATTCGCCATTGCATTATCCAAATTGCCACACTGCTAAAGACAAAGTGTAGTCCAAATTTACATTCTTCATTGCTAGAATTCCTTCCTTGCTAGAATTCCTTCCTTTATTAAGCAAATTGTCCAAAAACATTGCATATTCTCCCTCTCTGCACCCTTTTTGAGACCTATTACTGTAAGTATATTTTCAATATTTAAAGGACTCTATCCTTTTTTCTGAAATCCTTCCAAAGAATACAATATAGGAGCGTTCACATAATATGACGTCAGCAGCCGAGGGGGTAGGGGGGTTTGATAAACATTTGGTCAACAGATTTCAGTTCACTGAGGTAGTACCTCAGTGAACTGAAATCTGTTGACCAAATGTTTAAATCAGTCGCATACTAATTTTTCCTGCCTACACCCGTCAGCAATTCAGCATTTCTATGCGAAAAACTTACTAATCGTACTGATCGTACTGATTGCGTACTCAAAGTTACGTGAAAAATCTTAAATAAGTTTGAAGTTTAATACTAAATTATAAATGATATGGTTTTATTTATTATAGCTATTAAGCATAGCTGTGGTCAGTTTACTACCGCCCTCATCAGATACAAATTTCAATTGTGGCAGTGCAATTGTTTCATTATAATGTAGCTCAAACTTGGCTCTCCTTCAAAGTTTTATCTATGTTGGTTTTGTACCCGTCTACGTTTACGTCTTTGTTTTTTGAAGTCAGTCGATACTTTCTCTTATCGCATCATGTCCTAATACCACCTAGTCATTGTATTGTATTGTATCAGATGCCATCGTGGACAATATGATATCAGCAAGCATGTCATATATATGTGAACGCTACCTATGCACCTTTTTCAAACCACATTTATTGAGCAAGAGCTGATGGCAGGCTATAATCTCTACTATAATTCAGAGAATTGTTTTTGTTGTCTGTCTGTACGACCGCCCACGTGCAAATCAGACGAGAAATAGGAAGTTGCATAGTAACCATGGTAACGAAGATTATTACACGCACGTGCACGTGCAATGATTGTTTTAACGTCATTTTGATCGGTTTTGTGGAAATTACGTTGTGTTTAAATTGTTGACATTTAAATCGGCTGTATCTTCTGTTGGGATGAATATTTCTGTATGTGATTTATTTTCAAATAATACTACTAGCTTCCTCCCTGTTACCACTTACCACGGGCTTTCTAGTCTTACTTATAATTCAGAGAATTCTTTTTGTCTGTCTGTACGTCCGCCCACGTGCAAATTAGACGAGAAATAGGAAGTTGCGTAGTAACCATGGTAACAAGGATTGCTACACGCACGTGCACGTGCAATGATTGATTTAACGTCATTTTTATCGGTTTTGTTGATATTACGTTGTGTTTAGTGCGAGCAACATTTTAATCGGCTGTATCTTCGGTTGTGTAGGATATTTTTTACGCGATTTAAACTTACTAACAAAAAATACTATTAGCGCACTTACCTGTGACCACGGGTTTTCTAGTCTCTACATCTCTACTATAATTCAAAGAATTATTTATGTCTGTCTGTACGACCGCCCACGTGCAAATTAGATGAAAAATAGGAATTTAGGTAACAACCAAAAGGTTCCATAGCAACGGTGTTTTAATGCACACATGCACGTGCAAAGATTGTTTTAACGTCAGTTTGATCGGTTTTGTGGTAATTACGTTGTGTTTAAAGTGTTTTATATTTAAATCGGCTGTATCTTCGCGTTCGGTTGGGATGGATATTTTTTGATGCGATTAAAACTTTCTTTCAAAGAATACTGCTAGCTTCGTCCCTGTTACCACGGGCTTTCTAGTCTACTATAATTCAAAAGATTATTTTTGTATGTCTGTCTGTACGACCGCCCACGTGCAAACAGATGAGAAATAGGAATTTGCATAGTAACCATGGTAACGAGGGTTGTTACACGCACATGCACGTGCAATGATTGTTTTAACGTAATTTTGATCGGTTTTGTGGTACAATTACGTTGTGTTTAAATTGTTTACATTTAAATCGGCTCTATCTTCGGTTGGGTCGTTGGGATGAATATTTCTGTGTGTGATTAATTATTTCAAAGAATACTACTATCTTCCTCCCTGTTACCACGGGCTTTCTAGTATTATATAATACTAGTGTAACCCGGCCTTCGGCCGGGATTTCACTGCCGCAGTTAAAAAGGGTAGGAGCATTTACCCGTTGAGTCAAAACCCGCATTAGGTGAGCAATTCTATTTGGAGTGCCCTCACGTATCCAATGGTATCTTAAACAATAGTAATAGTATCTTAAACAATAATCAATAGAAATTAACCCTTAACACCACACCCGCCTATCATATTTGTGATCACGCATAACATTGTCGTATGAAAGTATGAACTCTCTCTCTGCAGTCCAAACAGTGCCCCGTCCCCTAATAAGATTATAGTATAGTCAGCGAATCTTACCCGGGTAACTCAATTACACTAATTATGCAGCTACATATACGAGCCCCGTAACTCTTACCGTTCTGCTCAAGCCATTTTATGTAACATTTGTTGTACAAAACCATCAATTAAACCACTTACCAACGACCGATTTAAAAAACCTTTATCATTTAACTTCGTCAGAGTTTTGTCGGCACTTTACCGAAAAAATCAGTCCCGCAACTCTTACCGTTTTCTTGATTAAGCCGCTCGGAAATTACAAACAGACAGACAGACAGACAGAAAACACACATTCTGGGATTATTAGTTAGATAGTCTTAGACTTGTTTTACTTACGGTATGGTTTATTTGTCTCTATTGGTGGCAGGTAAATCATAACTATGGTTCATTGAATCCAGTAACCCAGAACCCTGAATCATCATCGGGTATTCTTAATTACGACTGATCCATTTAATGTGAAATCACAGAAATTATCAGACACTGAAAAACTAGTCATTACCTGATATGTTATGAGCTGTGTCTTTCAAGAACATCTTGATAAGTTTTGTTCTTGTTTTAGAGTTTGGAAGTGGCACATACAGTCGTCTCTCAAACCTGAATAGTAAAACCCATTTAATTGAAACAAACATGCTTACTGAAGAATGAAGATACGAATAACAGATTGTTTTTCATTTTCGTTTATCATAATTTCACGATGTTTCTATCGGCCTTAAAACCTAATTTCCTGGCACATACCTTCTCAAGAAAGCAGTATCAAGTTCCCAAGGACAGTTAGTAGCACATAGCAGGAACAGTTTACCATTGTGTGTCCCCACCCCCTCAATCTGTTTAAGGAGCTCGTTCTTTACTCGTCTACTATATTCCTCTTCTCGAGAGCTTCTCTCCCTACAAACACTGTCTATCTCGTCTATAAATATCACACTTTGTCGCTCCTGTGCACGGTGGGTTAGGATCTTTAAGATATGACCAGCCGCTATTAATCGTTATAATGTGCTTCAAATTCGTGGATCGGATACATGACAGCTGTAGCCTCTAAAATGGGAAATTTTTAAATCTAACAAACCTGGTTTCTAGCAGATTCAAAGAGTTGTCGAACAAGTCTCTCACTCTCCCCCACATAGCTGGAGATAAGATCTGAGGTGGAGACAGAGAAGAAGACAGCATCTGCTTCCCCACTCACTGCCCTCGCTAACTCTGTCTTTCCTGTTCCTGCAGAGACGACTGTCAGCTGACTCGTCGACAATCCCTACCACTGACCTCACAAGTCATTTAGAAAAACAACTGTTAAACCACGTGATTTGATGTTTCCGACAAACCTGGAGGTCCGTAAAGTAGTAGACTCCTCCAAGGAGCCCTACAACCCTGGAACAAGGCTGGAAACTGAGCAGGAAGAAGAAGGGACTCCCTCAAGGTCTGTTTCACGTGCTCTAGTCCAGCTACCTGGGTGAAGTTGTGGCTGTGTTTGCTTTGCTGGATTGTGGACGAGATGGCCTCACTGCGTTGTTGTGACTCTGCCTCTTTGGTTGTGAGGGCTGCTGTTTCTGGTGTTGTCTTACTGGTATTTGATCCTTCACTTTGTATCTTGTTCACTGAAAAGCTGTTAATTCATGTTACCCAACGGCAATGTTGCCTCTTAACAAGACTTAAACAAAATCCAGAACTATTTCATGACAAATGTAATTATATACAGAAAGAATTAAAAAGGAAACAGTTCCTACCAATCTTCTCTAAGTTAACTATTTGGCCGGTGAGCGACTCTGCAACAGTCTGTAAAGTTTCCTTTCTCCTTGTCTCAACCTCAGCGGACAGTATCTGACATACCACACTTCTACAATCTATTAGCTGGTCAAGGTACGCTGACTTGAAATCTTGAGGACCTCCGCATAACTTGTTACTTTCTACAGACAAGTTCTTCAGCCATGTTGTCAGGTGTAGGTATAGCTCTGGAAGCTCTGCAGACATTGCAGGTGGCTTTGGATTTATAACATGTGATTAGAAGAAAAATAAAAAGATTCCCACTGAGAATGCAAATGGTCTAAATCTTATTATGTTCTTAAGTTCTCACATAAATTAATTTGAAATAAATCAATTTTAATTGGGCATGTAACATAATAAATTAGGTGGTCTTTGGGTAAGCCTCTTTATCATGTAAACACAGTTATTATTTTTCGGAATTAAATATTAACGATTAAAATTTAAATTGAATAATATAATATTAGAATTGTGGTATAAACTGAATATAATAATATGCATCAAATGGAAAAACTTTGTTATCCCTTGAAGTGCTTTTCATTAAATTTGTCCAGAACAGTGAAAAAGTATGAATATCAATCCAACAAATTTTCAACAACCGAATAGAATCTTATAGCGTTTTTAAATAATTAATTGCACTTCAACTCAAAAATAAGTAATCGACTCAAGCAGATGTGATTGATAAATTAGAACGAAATACTTTCGTTTATTAACTTTATTCTTCAGCTCATGTGTTGCCAAGTTCCCTATCTATCAACATCTCGATATCAGATAAAACATTATCAAATTCGTTCTTATTATTGTGGAGACGCTCAGGGTCATCTGTCATTGACTCATCCATCATCTGAAATAAGTAGATACATAGTGACATGATTGACCAAAACAAGCAATTGGTACATAAGGGAAAATTAATCACAGAAAGAAGATGTAGATTAAAGAGACCATGTTTGATATGCAAGGATATGTGACAAATGAAGAAAACTGTTACTATCAATATAAGGCAAACCTCAGAAGAAATATCGAGAGCAAGAGAGGAAGGTAGTGAATTGATTGTAGTATGCAGTCCTGCACGAGCACACTCCATTTTACTGATGAGGAGTATGTTTATGTTAGATCATCATGTAAAGAATGTAACAAATTTTTAAAAACTCACTTTTATGGTTAATTGAGTAAATAAAATCAAATCAAATTCTTATAACATAAGAAATTAAAATATTTCAAGGAAAATATACCTATTTATCTGTTCTATGAGGTTTATTTTCTGATCCTTCTGTATTTTAACCATCTGAATTAGTGTCTCAAGTGCTTGATGAGGTCTGAATTTGTTTACTAAGTGATGAAAGTTACAGAAAAGAAGCTCTAACTCTTCCAGTTTCTTTGTTCTAAGAGGACTTGATGGACATTGAATCAAAATATCTAACAAGTCCAAGAAGTTGACAACCAGGGAAGAGTTCAGCTTTTTGAGTTCTTTTATGTCATTGGAAGCATCCTGATAAAGTTGAGTGACACCATGCTCCCGTAGAGGAGCTAGAATTGATTTAGGGTCTTCTGGCTGAAAATTGTTACTTGTTTAACGTTGAATCAATTAAATAAATCAGTTTGGAGAAACAAATTTTTGTTTTACAGCCTCTTAAAGCATCTTTCTGTCAAAATAAACATTTAAGTAAAATCTTGATCAATGCTACAATATGATAATGGCATTGAATATTTGTCTAACATTGTGTGCTATCCCAAATGCGTTGTACTCCCCATCTGGAGGAGAAGGAGGAGGAGGAGCAGTTCCATTCTGTACAGCATCATTAGTGTACTTCTTGTAGAAAATACTTGGAGGAGGAGCTGTCACCTGCAGTAACTTCTCCTCTGCTTCTGGCTCCTTAGCTGTACTAGCCATTACCATCAGTACATGTTCTAATCAGTGCCAACTGTTAGAATATTCAATATTTAGTAATATTAGAATGTTATATAATAACATCTATAAACAAAAGAGCACCTAAAGAGGCTCAGCAAAGTGCTGGCCTATTTACGCTTTCGATGACTCCTTCGTTCAATATGTCTCAAAGTAAATAGACTCTTCCATCCTACTCTATCTCTTGCTAAGTTCACTAAGTTGGTAAAATCATCTTCGTTTTTCAAATAAATTTGTCTCTTAAATAGGTCCTTTTTCACAATAATATCATACAAATTAGTCCTGTGTCTACCCACTCGTCCCTTTAGCGTTTGACATCCTAGTGTAGCAAATAACAGAGACTGGTAGGCAGGCGTGTCGTTGTCACTGCGTAGAACATGACCTAGCATTGTCCACCTTGCCTTTTCCACTCTCTCGGAAAGGGGCCTGGTCTGGGTACGAGCGTAGAGGGCCTTGTTAGATATTGAGCTAGGCCAATAGATGTGTAGGATGCGCTTGAGGTGCTTTCTCTGAACAACATCTACACACTGGTAAACTCTACGTAACGCGCGAAAATAATAATTCTATGGCGTTTTCATTGTCACATCTCACGTCGACGGGATTAAACGCGCGCGCGCGCGTAACATCTTATCTTACTGCTATCTCAACGAATAAACACACAACGACTTTGACAATTGACAGACGACTTAACGATTGTGAGTTATGACGGACTTAACTGTATGGGTCAACTACTGAATCTGTATTGTATACTATCTTAATCATTATACTGGACATGAGATGACGAAGTATCTTAAGCAGCACTTTATACCTCCACTTAGAACTTGATTAGTCACGAACAATAGAATCATTATAAATCAATACAATAAAACATCTTGATCAATAAATGCCTAGCAGCACCAGACAGCGGCCGTGTACCTTTTTCGACTCCACGGAGTCCCTGATGGACTTTTGTTTACTTTTGTTAATAATTTGACCGCAACCTTTCTTTCTCGAAACATAAATCCTACTGTACTTCATTACAGTATTAAAATAATATAAAGCAAATCATGTGAATATATGACTACGAAATAGATCTATAGATTTGTCCATAATATTTAATACCGTATTGATGGTTTTGAATTTTGTATATTGAATTTTAATGTGAAGCGTTTACTCTTCCCCCTCGGCAATTAATTAGAAAGTTAGATTAATGACAATAATTGCCAAATGACGTAGTAGATATAGATGTTCAATGTTGTAGAGTGATTTCAAGAGTAGTGGTCCACAGGGGTCCGAAAAAGCCGTACAGGCACTTGGGTCCTTATCCTTGTCACTAGTCCCAATTGGATTCACTTTACACAAAACATGAACGTTTACAATTTAGACGTACACATTGGCACAATATTTATTAGAAAGCAAACAGTATAAAATAATACGTGCGTGCTCAGCTTGAGCCGCATAACAATTTATGCGTTTATGGGCTGGAGTACGCGTGTTTACAGATTAATGAATTGTTGCATTGTAAATATTTAAAGTTGACGATATATTATGATTTAATAGTAAATTTTTCAAAGCTGGCTTTGGACTTAGGTAAAATTATAACTTATTTATTTAAAAGAAAAAACCACGGATAGTTTTAAATTTACATAGTCGTACAACTATAATCAAGTTAATCCTGTTTTCAAGAATGCGCGGCTTTGGCGGCCAGTTATTGACTTGTACATAAAATTGAATTTTAAATAGAAATGTGAATGTATTAAAATTTAAAACTTTCAAAACGGAGGCTTATAAATATTATTATATTATGATTGTAAAATAAAGGATAAAATTTTAAATTTGTTTCACTAAAATTTGTTTCACTACAGACTCTAGAACATGCTGAGGTACGGCCCAGCAGCAGCAGTTGTACAGGAGCACTGATACTACTAGTGAGTCGTAGAGTTTGATCTTTCTCTTCTCAGTCATCTGACTCCTCTCAGATCCCTGGCACCACAGCTTGTCAAATGACCAGAAGGATCGGTAAAATAAAACTATTTATGACAGCCAGAAATAGTTTCATCGGTTCATTAAGAATGTCAAATAGGCCTCTCAAAGCATTACAGGACAAAAAGGTTACATTCAGGCAAAAGGTAACATTCTGTAAATTTTCCTCTATTCAGATTATCTAACAGTGGAATTTATAGCCAAGGGGAACGGTTCTACTCTAGCTTGACCATCATCACAGTATATATGGTGAGACGCAAAAGCAAGCATTGCAGTTTATTTGTACAGTGCAGTGGTTCCATGCCTCTGCAATCTGTACTCTTGCGTTGATCGTTGATCGATATATTTTACAGTACATTCCAGAGAATGTGACTTGTAAACTGTACAATCAGAAGCTCATCCAGGGATAAATTTCCCTATTCGATTACAGATTATCGAAGTTTCCACTACACCACCACAGGAGACGTCAAATTCGAAGCTGTTAAAGTAACCAAAGGCGATTATTGATATATTGTACAAGACAGCAGTTCATATTTAACTACAATCATTGCACAATGATTATTGAATACAAGTGGGAATGAGAGCAAATTGGAATGATTGCAAGTGGGCCAACATAGTAGCAAGTCTTGCCAGTAAAGATCAATTGGCCTTATTCCCTCGGGTATCAAAGATACCTCTGAAAATATCGAAAGATCCACCCATAAACAAATGAAAAGCAGCGTTGAAAAGTATTTTACAAAACCTTGAAAAAACGTAGCGCTCGATTTGTAAAATTTAAAAATTACATGCGCGGCCTCCAACAATTGGATGGTACGTTTTTAATATATCAATTTTGTATATCAATGTTTCGTTCGATTTTGCAGCAACTTACCTGACTTCTTAGTTTGTTACTCGCTACTCCAACTCTCACGTACAATGCAGGAAGCTCGAATAGAGCGCCGTGCATTGAGATCGACGTGCCATTGTAGCGGGTCGCGCCGCGCATCAAATAATTCTTCTCGGTAGATCGGCGAGATGCACCACTGTGCTGCGAAGGATTGACATCGTGAATCTTTCGCAGTACAGTGATTTGATTGACGATGTCAACACTTCCAGATCGTTGCTCTGCAACCATTTCATCAGGTGCAAAGTCCCCCAATTTCTTGTCATACGTTGTATGACCCGCCGCGCACGAAGTGCGCGGCTCCCCCTGTAGCGTCTCTACTCCACTATAGTGAAGCGACCGTGGGGGTCACCACGTGATACAACCGATTTCATGGTATACAGCATTTCTGGAGATTAGCAGGTATAAAATCAAAAATAAAAATTTCAACTGCAGCATGAGGAACCTTGTGTACAGCAGGTTCCATTTTTGGAGGGCTTCGACGCGCCGCGCAAACTAATATTCTTGCTTCGAATATCGTTGTTCTGCTTCGTAAAGCAACGATCTCAATGGGTTAACATCGTCAATCAAGCTCAATTTTTAAACAAGGCGCATGTTAATGTAGCTGAATTAAAATATATTTTATATTGAGTACTTGATAATCATCAAAACAAGCGCCAAGTTGGATTCATCGACAGTCTTTAATATTTAAAAACAAATACTTGACGAGTATTTACCCGTTAAGATAATCAATATTGTAATTTAACATATCAGTTTTTAAAAACTTCGCCTTTGAAATTTTAAATTGCAATCTTCAATCTATGAAACAAAAATTTGTTTTCCAATGAAACAAGAAATTTAATTTTAGCACATTTTACAAATCAAAAAGTTGTAAAACAATTTATAAAAACATAATGCTCATTTGGTGCATGACTTTTTTATGTTTGACTACTTTATACTTTAAAACGCTAATACAAGTACTTGTTATATTTAATTGAACTAACTAGTTGAACCTAATTTATCAAAATTAAAATGGCTAATTTATCAAAAATTAAGTTGGTGACATGATATGAAACAAAATTTATTTGATTCAAGGTTTATTTATATTTTATATCTTAACTATGAACTATGTGAAATGTGACATAATAAAAATATTGAATATTGAGTTTAATGTTTTGGTTAACCATTAAAGTTACGACTTATTATGTATTACATTTTTTTACACACAACAAAAAAGTAAATTGAAGAATCACTTCGTTATTGTATTTGAAATTTATAAAATTAATCCCACACCTGTTGTCTCAGATTTTAAATTTTTGATTTGATATTAATGATTAAATATTTTTAATAAACTCATAAACTTATGATTTGCTTTAATGTTTTAAATTAAATTTGTACAAAGAAAGTTTAAAGTTTATTGTTTTATTTAAATTGTTAGTCTAGTGTTGACATACGTTCCATGTTACTGGGCCGCGCTCAGCCTGTCATTCCGCCTAATCTCTACCAACATTAAATCCTGGGGTCCTCAGGTAAGTTCCATGCCACTTCACACTTTTCGCGCGCGAAGAGCGCGCCGCCGAATATAATTCTCTGATGTTTGTGATACGTAACATGTATCAAGTCTAGTCACTTCTCTTGCAGTAGTAGAGAAGCTTTAAAATAGTGCCGCGCATAAGGATTGGCGTGCCAAGTTGATTGACGATGTCAACCCTTCCATATCTTTGCTCTGCAGCGATCTAGTCAGTCGATACGAAGTAAAAATGATAGTTTGTGCGGCACGTCGAAGCGGCGAAGTCCTCCAACGTACCAAAATAATTTATAGGGTCATATATGATATAGGTTTTAATACTTTCAACACTACTATATAACAAATAATTTGAGGAGAAAAGTGAGGGAAAGATGATAGTTTGGCCAGTAACACTTGTATAAGTCGCCAATGCACAATTTAAAGTTTGTTGACCTCAGTTAAGCCTTTCACTTGTTAATAACCTACCAATATGCACGCAAAGTTGGACACGTCTACGGTCTTGGAACAAATTTGGAACAACAAGTAACTTACGGTTGCTTTCTTTTTGGGCCCAAATTGATTGTAATCAAGTTTGATTTATCATTGCTACATGCAGCTCAATGAGAAAATTTTTTAGATTCGCCCTGGTTGCTGGTCTTGTAATGTGAATGTGTTACAACCTCTATACTAAAAGTTTTCATCATAGATAAAATTTGATTTGATTTTATGTTAATTTGTTCTACATTTTGAATGCTTGTATCGAATTCTTCGCCGCTGTAAATTCCTTTTTGTTATTTTAGCTGCACCATTTTGGAGTAGGTGACGCTGATTCATTACTTATTTAATTCACACATCAAAAGTTACACGGCCGGACAAGATGCCTTTTACAGTGTATTCAGAGAGGTAAATACTCCAGATTTTGAGTTAATCGATAATTTCAATTCAATAAGGGACATCAAAGACATAAGTTACCTGACATTGAATGGATGGCATACCTCCCGCCCCACCGGAATGATAATATTAATAACAATTTCACTGCTTAAATCCTAATTCCTGCAACTCCCGAAATTTTGTCACAATTGAAGGTTCCAAGCATCAGTATTCGTCTGAATCAGACCCACCTCCTTTCGAAATCATTTTTTTCCATGCACTATGTATCTTGTGATGCAGAGCGAAAGCTCCCTCTAGAGTATTTTCACCCTCCATTTGTGTTGTAAAACAGACTTCTAGTCGTTTTACTCTGATAATTCTTGTGAATGGTTATCATAATCGAACCTAAGTATGTAAGAACTAAAATAAGCAAAGCTCAGTATGAAGGGGTTATCACGGCTTCTTACTAAATGATTGAGTCACGAAATTGACGAATTAAACCAATTCGTGCCTTAAAATGGTCGTAAATGAATTGAAGTGTTCGTCACTTAATCAATTGATATAGACTTAGCCTCCTGGCAGTCAATAATCAGATAACAGGTTAAGTTAAAATAGAATGTACCGTCAATCTAAGGATGGATTAATTCCATAAAGTTTATTAGGTTTGTGTAATCTCCCGCAGTCGACTTGAACAATTGTCAGGAAAATCTACCTAAATTAAATGGAGCTGAGAAGGGAGTCCGGATTCCTGTTAATGGGGTACTTTTAAGCATGGATACACAGCAATGCACAGTCCATATCAGTATGATCGAGCTCTGCCTCTCCCACACATGTAATGCAAAGTTTGCGAAGCCTCTCCTCTATAGATCCTGCATTCTGCAATCATCGCTGTGAATCAGGTCCATTACCTTCCTTCTCATTTAAATCTGATCGCAAAACAAAAATTTAGTTAACAAAAAGTGAAGGTGCAACTTTCGTCAGACACCTTTTTTATTTGAGGAAACGAGAGTGCTGAAAAAACAAACCCGTTATACACATTTCTTCCAACTTTTAGTCAGCATACTTTCTTCCTAATGCCCTGAGAACTGGTGACCAAAAACTATTAGTTGCAACGTCGAGCCTTGCTCTATCTTGGATGTTTTTATCAGTGTATATATCACAAATATCAAACAATCATCTAAATCATGTGATGCACAGCAATTACACGAGCTTAAAATGACATGGAAAGTGATATTTACCTCCGCTATCATGGGCACTTGCAATGCAGCAAATTTAATGATGATGTTAATGGAATAATACTTAAATATTTTAACTTAATCACTCTTACAGCCATGTCTGAACAGACGGAAAAGGCTTTCCAGAAGCAGCCTGCGGTCTTCCTGAATAAGAAGAAACTAGCTGGTGCTAAAGTCGCCAAGACTGGTAAAGGTGTAAGGTGGACAAAGAATGTTGGTCTAGGAATCAAAACTCCTAGGGAAGCCATCGAGGATCCTACATCGACAAGAAGTGTCCTTTCACTGGGGATGTAGCTATTCGAGGACGTCTGTTGAGAGGCATAGTTAACAACATGAAAATGAAGCGTACTCTGACCATCAGACGAGACTACCTTCATTACATCAAGAAATACAACCGATTCGAGAAGCGTCACAAGAACATTTCAGCTCACGTATCACCAGCTTTCCTTGATGTCGGCAAAGGTGACACCGTTTTAGTTGGACAGTGCAGACCTTTATCGAAGACCGTCAGATTTAATGTCCTGAAGGTTATTGCCACCGCCGCAGCTGATAAGAAGAAGTTCACTAAATTTTAGATGATGGTTGATTAATTTTATTACATGACTATTTGAATTTTCTTGCTTTCAGCGTGCTTTCATTCCCTAATTTAAAAAGGTCAGACTATGCGGATTTCAAGTTCTGGTTTCCGTGTCTCGATGATTCTCAGGTGAACTCTCAGTCAACTGCCGTCTAAACAGTAACCAAACACTTGCACTTAGGTAAATGAATGTTCTAGATACCTTTGAAGAAGATGAGACATATAAATGTTTTCTGAGCACTGACTACGATGCTGAGAAGTATGCTAATTCGATCATTGCCTCCTCCACCGTCAGCCAGACTCTTCAAGCACTTCAGGTTTGTTATAGTGTGTTCATGTCAGTACAGTGTGTGTGATATTAACAGATTCTTTCTTAAAAGACATGTTCCACCTAAGGACATAATAAATAATAAGAACAGCAGTTTCATCTTAACTAAATTACACAATCACTAGGGAGGAGTTGAAAAATTGAACTGTGCTCTCGAAGAACATGTCTCTGAACATTATGAAGATCTCATCAATCAGGCTACTGGCATGGATATCCTTGAAGAGGTTGGTTTTATTAAATGTCATTCATTATTCAAGTTAACCTGACAATTACAATTCAAGTTTATTAAATTTTTATTGAATTCCACGTTTATCCCATTGGATAATCATCTGGGTAAATTTCTATCTTCACACCTTTTTGTTTCAGTCCCTAGGAATCGTCAAGTCTAGAATTGACCAGTTACAGCGCTCCATGACGACAATCAAAAAGCGTCTCTCCGAGCCCTACAACCAAATGACAATGAGAACACAGCAACTGGGTCGACTACAGAAAACATGCGATGTACTGAGACGTGTGACACGTATACAGTATCTCACGAAAAGGCTGAAGCAGCAACTTGATGGTGGAATCAAGGAGATAACAAAGACATCACAAACTTTTAATGAGCTGCAGTATTTGTATGGTGATGGTGACTTGGAGGGGATAGAGGTCATTGACAAAGACCTGGAATGGGTGAGAAAAGCTAGAGCTAATATGGAGGTTCAAGCTGAGCAGTTGTTGATTCAGGGACTTTCCTCCTTCAACCAAAATCAGGTTTGTACTAATTTTTTCAAGTTTAAAATACGTGTGAGTGAACATGATTCTCCAGTTTGGAGCCGGATCGGCAAGTGTCAATTCGGTCCACTGACTGGAGTAGAATAATGTAGATTTAAGAGAGCTTGTAACTGATTCATAAGTTACTCGTTTATATGATCTCACACCTTTTCACTACTGCTCCTTTCGTGTTTAGAGTTTAGTATGTTGAGTATTAAGTTTCTTCAACCAAATCATGGTTTCATCATCTCAACCGCCAAATATCTTCTTTCTTGGCTAAGCAAGTTATAAAATCAATGCTTCCCTTCAGACAAGCACAGCACTGCAAGTTTTCAACAGCATTGGAACTCTACAATTAGTCGTCTCAAAGACTCTGCAAACTAAGTGCAGCTCTGTCCAACAAGACCTCGGCTTCAGCTCTCTCCGGCAGTTTCGAACAATCTTACAATGGCTCTGCTCCGGGTAAGCTAGGATTCTTACTTAGAGGGGGGGGTGTCACGTCCGTCTATGTCCGCTTGTCTCATAGAATCCAAAAAGGACAGGACATAGGCGGACATAGGCGGACATAGACGGACATAGGCGGACATAGGCGGACATAGACGGACATAGGCGGACATAGGCGGACATAGGCGGACATAGACGGACATAGGCGGACATAGGCGGACATTAATGGACACCTAAATTGCTAAATAAAATGTTCAATTTTTGCTGTTATAGGGGGATCATGGTTTTTGTCCGTTCGGTACCCTATATTTTCAAAACGGACAAAAAATAGAGCGGACAAAAACGGACAAAAATGGATAAAAACGGACAAAAATGGAAATAACATTTAGATGCTTCCTCCTCCTACTCTTCCTCCTCCTCCCCCTGGGTCTTCCTGATCTTCCTCAGTCCTCTTCCTCCTCCCCTCCTCAGTCCTCCTCCTACTCCTCCTTCTCCTCCTTCTCCTCCCCAGTCCTCATCCTCCTCCTGAGTCCTCCTCCTGGGTCCTCCTACTGGGTCCTCCTCCTCCTCTTCATCCTCCTCCTCTTCCTCCTCAGTCCTCAGTTCTCCTCAGTCCTCCTCCTCATCCTTCTCCTCAGTCCTCCATCCTCCTCCTCAGTCCTCCCCCAGTCCCCCTCCTCCTCCTCCTATTCAGTCCTCCTCCTTCTCCTCCTCCTTCTCAGTCCTCCTGAGTCCTCCTCCTCCTCCTGAGTCCTCCTCCTCCTGCTCCTCCTCTTCCCTTTCAGTCATCCTCCTCAGCCATCCTCCTCAGTCCTCCTCCTCAGTCCTCCTCCTCCTGGGTCCTCCTCCTCCTCTTCATCCTCCTCCTCTTCCTCCTCCTCCTGGGTCCTCCTCCTCATCCTTCTCATCAGTCCTCCTCCTCCTCCCCAGTCCTCTCCCAGTCCCCCTCCTTCTCCTCCTCCTATTCAGTCCTCCTCCTCCTCCTCCTCCTCAGTTCTCCTCAGTCCTCCTTCTCATTTCTCCTAAGTCCTCCTCCTGAGTCCTCCTCCTGAGTCCTCCTCCTCCTCCCTCTCAGTCATCCTCCTCAGTCATCCTCCTCAGCCATCCTCCCCAGCCATCCTCCTCAGTACTCCTCAGTCCTCCTCCTTCTCAGTCATCGTCAGTCCTCCTCCTCAGTCCTCCTCAGTCCTCCTCCTCCTCCTGGGTCCTCCTCCTCCTCCTCCTGGGTCCTCCTGGGTCTTCCTGATCTTCCCCAGTCCTCTTCCTCCTCCCCTCCTCAGTCCTCCTCCTACTCCTCCTCCTCGTCCTCAGTCCTCCTCATCAGTCCTCAACAGTTCTCCTCCTCCCCAGTCCTCCTCCTCCTCCTGGGTCCTCCTCCTGGGTCCTCCTCCTCCTGGGTCCTCTTCCTCCTGGGTCCTCCTCCTCCTGGGTCCTCGTTCTCCTCCTCAGTCCTTCTCCTCCTCCTCCTCAGTCCTCTTCCTCCTCTTCCTCCTCCTCCTCCCTCTCAGTCATCCTCCTCAGCCATCCTCCTCAGCCATCCTCCTCAGTCCTCCTCCTTCTCAGTCCTCCAAAGTCCTCCTCCTGAGTCCTCCTCCTCCTCAGTCATCCTCCTCAGTTCTCCTCCTCCTCCTCCTAGCCCCTCCTAGGTCCTCCTTCTGGGTCTTCCTCCTCCTGGGTCTTCCTGATCCTTCACCTCCCTCTCAGTCATCCTCCTCAGTCATCCTCCTCAGTCATCCTCCTCAGCCATCCTCCTCAGCCATCCTTCTCAGCCATCCTCCTCAGTACTCTTCAGTACTCTTCAGTACCCTTCAGTCCTCAAAATGTTTGTCCGCTTATGTCCACCAATGTCCGCTAATGTCCACCAATGTCCATCCAAGTCCGCCAATGTCCGTCCGGGTCCGCCAATGTCCGTCCGAGTCCGCCAATGTCCGTCCGAGTCCGCCAATGTCCGTCCGAGTCCGCCAATGTCCGTCCGTGTCCGCCAATGTCCCAAAAAACACGTCCGTTGTCTCATAGAATCCAAAAAGGACAGGACATAGGCGGACATAGACGGACATGACACCCCCCCCCCCTTAGAACATGTTTCTCCAGTTTGGAGCTGGATTGGCAAGTGTCAGTTCAGTCTACTGATTGGAGTAGAATAATGTAGATTTAAGAGAACGGACAACTGGTAAAAGTTTCTCGTTTATATGATCTCACACCTTTTCGCTACTTATGATTACTTTATAAATATTTTATATTCACCTTTCTCACCTGTTTCTGGGTTTCTCCGGGTATATGTCACTGGTGTCAGATCTGAATACCAAATAATCTCAGGAGGTACCAGCATGACAAACACAGCAGCATGGAGAGCTAACCTATGGACCTCACTCGACAAGTGGAGCAACAACATAACCACCCAGTTTAACCAGATCCACGTGCTCCACAGGACACTAGTGAGACGTCGTGACCCGTCCACCCAGAGAACACTGTTGGAGGAGTGCGGGGTGACACCCATTCAAACTTATGTGTCAGCTGTAAGTGCAGCGCTTCAGCAGGAGCTGAGAAATATCAATAGTTCAGCTAAACAGGCTCTCAATTTAGAGTATCCAAAGGCACTGAGACTGGTTGTGTCGTTGTGGAATCATTTTAGCAGCAAATTGGATGTGGAGGGGCTGGAGGATGTCACTCTTCCAAATGTAAACGTGAGTACTTGACAAAACCTTATTATTATCATGAAAACTAATTCGTCAGTGAGCTTCGGTGAAATGTAACAGTTAAAATAATACAATGTTCGACGGTTTGATCACTGCATCTATTGTTTGATGATAACTCTCCATCTCACAATACAACTCTCTCAGATACGAGAAGTGCTAACTCCATTCCAATGTACGTACCTGGCTCGATCCCTGAACCGGCTGTTAGACCCGGTAAACATAGCCTTCCCTGGTAAAACAGTTCCCTCGACCAGCGAGATGGAGAGTATTGTCAGGATCATGGTCAGCGAACTAACTGCCGCCAGAGGAGACGAGGAACTCAAAAGTAAGTTTTTTAATGGTCACCTCATTTTTTAGATTATGTTCGAGTTCTTAACGTGGGTAAGTGAACCTGACTCTCCAGTTTGGAGCTGGATTGGCAAGTGTCAGTTCAGTCTACTGATTGGAGTAGAATAATGTAGATTTAAGAGAACGGATAACTGGTAATTTAAGTTACTCGTTTATATGATCTCACACCTTCAGGCTTAAAGTATCTTTTTACTACTTCGTCAGATCATGTATAAAACCACATACTTTAAGTAAGTTAAATTCACCTATTTATATATTGTATAGTAATAAGTATCAATTAACCTTTTTATTGATAGATTTAATTTAACACTCGTAATTTCTCAGAGCTGAGTACGAACAACATAGTAAAGTCTATCCGGGATATTCTGAACAAGTGCGAGAATCTGGTCCATTTCGGAAGCGGGCTGAATGATATCTCCTCCGCTCCAACTCAGTACCACGTTAAAAACATCCAGGTGGGTTCTCTCTCAAACATTACAGACTTTCTTGTGTTTTGTTTAACTCTATACGACGTCTGGTGGGGGGGGGGGGGAATGCAACGTCAATTAATGTCAGTATTCCATAAAAACCCAAAACTGACATTGACATTAATTGACATTAATTGACATTAATTGACATTAATTGACATTAATTGACATTAATTGACAATAATTGACATTAATTGACATTAATTGACGTTGCATTCCCCCCGTCTGGTGTTGTTTGTTATTTTCTTCTTAATTTCAATATTCTAAAATTCTATGTACACGAACTGAAAATCAAAAAGACTCGCTGATATTTTAACAATAATATAATTGTGCAGGTGATGAATGTGTTATGTACATTACACAGTAAACTAGAAGAAGTACCCGCTGATCTCACTGTTGGTAGAACTGAAGTCTGGAACGTTATATCAGAGAATGTTAACTCTCTTCTCAACCCATTCAAGTTAGAGTCGTCTTATATTCCTACAGTTCGCTGGTTTTTATCATAACAACATGGTTGTTGTGAAACTCTAATCGATCGAGCGCGTTGACTGGCTAAATCTGACAGTCAGACATACCTTTTAGAGTATAATAAGCTAGAACGTGTTATAAATACCAAGCAGGCAAAGACAGCCTGCTAGGAATTAAAGCGGAACGACAATGTTTTTGTAATTAAGTTTTTAAAACATTTGCAGGGTAATAATTAGTATAATTAGGTAATAATAAAAAACATTTTCAGGGTCCAGATAGAGCATGTCTTCAGTACAATCCACGACACTGATTATGGGTTTGAAAAGCAGGACATAGCGGGCTGTTCAACTTACATCGGCCTGGTAGAGGAGGCCATAACCCACCTGGTATCTAACTACCTCAGTCAGCTGTCTAACAAATCTGCAATCCTCCCCAAACTACAAGAGTTCCAAGATTCCCTCATATCCCTCTATCTCCATCACTTGTGTGTGGTCAGACCTCTAGGTGACGGGGGTAAGATGAAGATAGCGACTGATATAGCTGAGATGGAGAGAGTCCTGGGGGGACTGCTAGACGAGCATAGTGTCAGCCAGCAGTTTAAAGTTCTCAGAGCGTTCAGAGCTGTTCTGTTCCTGACAGTTGAGGATATGTGTACGGTGAGGAATGTTCCAAGACCTATGTTGCTGAATCATCTTTTCTCAAGAGCTGGGGACGCCCTTTTGTCGCCCTACAAGGTTAGTTAATCAAATCCAAACGTTTCACACTTAACATAAAACATCTCCAGTTTGGAGCTGGATTGGCAAGTGTCAGTTCAGTCTACTGATTGGAGTAGAATAATGTAGATTTAAGAGAACGGACAACTGGTAAAAGTTACTCGTTTATATAATCTCACATATTTTCACTACTGCCTTCATGTTTATATAATCACCTATTTTATTTTACCTTAAAAAGAGATATTTTGTTGGAGAAAGATAACCTACCTTGTACTAAAAGTAATCCGTTGTCTCCCAGGTAGCTGGATGGACTCCCTCCCAATACGTAGCATGGTTATACTCGCACCCTTACGAAGTGGTTGATATGATCCAGGGGACTATCCAGTGGTACGAGGATATGATCAGGGAGTCTGGTGCTCCTTCCTTTGATCCCATCTATCCAAATATAATACAACTCCTTCAGACTTGTAAGTTGGAATCACTCTTTCGTCGGAGAGTTTAATGATTTTAAATGATGACCACATCCTTGCACTTTGATCTTGGTTTAAGTGTCTAACGTCTCGAGCAATAGGAATGTTTTGCTTTGAAATCTTACGATTTCGTTGCAAACTTGCTGTTGCTTGGATGTAACACTTATCTGAGAAAAGAAAGACAACCTGGCCTATTCTGATAAAATGATAAAAACCTTATATTGCTAGAATCACGATTTAACGCTCATCGACATTTTTCAACTTCAGGACGAGACATTAAAAGTTTCTTCCCCGAATTGTGGTGTTTTCCGAAGCTGTAAGTTAAATTTCCAATCTATAGATATTTCGAATGATTTTAGATAAAATGATGACCACATCCTTGCACTTTGATCTCAGTTTAAGTGTCTAACATTTTAAGCGACTGTCATGTTTTGCTTTGAAATCGAACAATTTCGTTGCAAACCTGCTGTTGCTTAGATGTAACACTTATCTGAGAAAAGAAAGACAACCTGGCCTATTCTGATAGAATCATTACGTTCTCTAAATACCAACACTGCAATCTAATCATTACCGTTACTTTTCCACTCAGGACGAGAAACCGCACTCTCCTTTCCCGAAATGTGGCGTTCAAAGTTTAGTTTCAGTTGAACCTAGGTGCATGGATACTGTATTGAATGTATATAAACAGTGTGGGGTATTCAGACGCATGAATCTTGTAAATTTCACGGCTAAAGCATGGAACATTTTGAGAGTTGTTTATTTATTTATTTCGAATTGTATTGAATTGATATTTCAGAATGGATTTTGTTGTTGTAAAATTTGATTTGTGAATGTTTCACCAATATCCTTAAATCTGTTGATATTTTATTGTATATTAAATTGTGTGTTTCAATGCATTTTCCAACTTAAAAAGTTATTTAAATTATAATTCTTGATTTTAAACGCTTCCAGCCAAATTTCAGATTAAGAATTCTGCTTCTCCAGCTCTAGCTAGACCTGGTGTCCACCATGACGAACCCTTCCTGCCAACTCATCATCAACGACCTTCTCAAAAACAGAAAGTGGACCTCAGCCTTACAGCTCTCTCTGTATGAAAAGCTAGTAGTTGTAGCCCGGCAAATGAGCATGTCACCGCTGGTAGTATTTATACCTATCAGTGGGGAGGTGGTGCTGTCAGATCTGACATTGTATGTGGAGAGAGTGAGACAGATGGCTGTTGATTTAAGTACTGGGGAGCTCACTATTGAGCAATTTTCTGATTCAGATTCCACTTCAAATAAGGAGCCTACTGAGCCTATGGAGAATGCCGATTGTGACGTATTAGATCAATGGAGTGTACCCATTTCAAGCTCATCGTCAGTTTCTCGATTTCAAGAAGACCTAAATTTCGATCGAGATGAGTGTTTGAGACTTCATAGAGAAGTTCAGGTGCAGCAATTTGATTACGAGTCAAAAAATGAAGCCAACGAAAGGAAAAAAGCTAGAATCGAAGAGATACGACTTGATTTAATTCCTGAAAATATAACAGATTCTGTTACCCCTGAAAGTGGACTTGGAGCATTTCCAGACAACCCGAGCTCAGAATCCTTCCAACCAGATCGAACTATTGACTTCTACACCTCAGTCATGTTCGCATTCCACGACAGCGGAACATTCTCCTATTTCCATGCAGCTTCAGGACTGGCACCACCCGAGATGTGTCCCGAGGATAGTGACGATGAGAAACCTTTCCATGTCGTTCAGCAAGAACAGCAGCAAGCGGAGAAGAAACGAAAAAATGTTGAATGAGTCATAAATACCATGTTTCGATTTAAAACAATTTGTATTTTTGTTATGTTTTCAGAATAGTATGGGGAATGTAAATTTGGCTTGCAGATTCTTTTATATTGAATTAAGTGCAAAGTCGGTAATATTTCAATCCTGTCAGCCAATTAATTTTTTAATGTTTATTTTCAACGACTATTTGTCTATATTCTGTATCGTAAAGATGTAATGATTGGTGTGTTTTCTGTTTCTTCAAATTACTGCTTACAATTGTAATACTAGATCATTTGATGTTTAATGTTATAATTGCAACCCAATCCTTGTGTAAACATGACTGATATTAAAGTGCAACTACTTAACTAACCGAATATATCTCAGGCCTAGAATAGCATGGCTATCGGCAAGAACAAGCGCCTGTCCAAAAGGAAGGGAAACAAGAAGAAGCTCATCGATCCATTCACAAAGAAAGAATGGTACGATGTCAAAGCACCAAGCATGTTCACTGTGAGAGATATCGGCAAGACCCTGGTGACCCGAACCACCGGTATGAAGATCGCTGCTGATGCCCTGAAGGGACGAGTGTACGAGTGTGCTCTCGCTGATTTGAACGACGACGAGAACGCTTTCAGGAAGTTCAAGCTTGTCTGCGAGGATGTCCAAGGCAAATACTGCTACACCAACTTCCACGGTATGGACCTCACCAGAGACAAGCTCTGCTCTCTCGTCCGAAAGTGGCAGACACTCATCGAAGCTCACGTCGATGTCAAGACCACCGATGGATACCTTCTCCGTGTTTTCTGCATGGGATTCACCAAGCGAGTAAGCAAGCAGATCAAGAAAGCTGCCTACGCCAAGAGCTCCCAAGTGCGAGCTATCAGGAAGAAGATGGTCGATATCATGGCCAAGGAAGCCTCCACTGAAGACCTGAAATCCTTCGTCAATAAACTTATACCAGACAGTATCGGCAAAGATATCGAGAAGGAATGTATGGACATCTACCCCCTCCACGACGTTCACATCAGAAAAGTAAAGGTCTTGAAAAAGCCCAAATTCGACGCCAGTAAACTTATGGACCTTCACGGAGAAATGGGCGGTACAACTGACGAAAGTGGAGAGATTGTTTCAGCTCCCGGTGAATTTGTCGAGCCTATCATTCAAGAGTCTGTTTAAGTTATTGTTTAAATAATTTTTATCTATCTAAGTCTTGTTTTACTCAACCTCGTCTGGAAACTGAAAAAAATAAAAACGAAAATTGTAATCCTTGAAAAATGTGAACGATGAATTGAATTCCCACCTTATTCAATAAATGAGTACTTGATATGTACTTAGATTTGATAATATCTTACGATTTCCGTTGTTCAATCAATCTTTACCCTGTCTTGACATGCTCACTAATTATCAATATAAATTAACCTAAAACTGTTCAGGTAGTTTATGGATGTAAGGTGGGATATATTAATAGCTGCCAGCTCAGCTGGTCTTTGTGCCGGATGCGCTTATCTGCTACACCAACGTAACAGTCACCTTAATGCTGTCTCCCAAGCAACCGCATTCTCCACTGTCTCACGGCTTATAGATTATCTTGATGAGAACGAAGTTAATGAGATAGAGTTGATCTCAGTGACTGGTAAGGTAGCTGCTATCGGTGGTGCTATCAAGAGCAAATATTTAGACAATTTAGAAGGTGTTATCAGCGAGCAACAAGTGGTAGAGCACAGATCTGAATGGTCATCAGCACTTCAGAGATGGCTTGACTCAGAATCCCTAATCAGTCTAGCAACAAATCAGGTTCCATTCTCTCTGACTGACGGGGTGAACTTTATCTCAGTTTTCAGTCCTAATCTGAGTTACCAATCCCCAACTCAGATCGTGTACGATAAGTTTGAACCTAAGGATGAAGCCAGTGCAGTACGACATCTCGTGAACTATGTAGTGGGGTCCCAGGTGAAGGGACACCAGTATTTAGAGAAACTCCTCCCTGTTGAAACCATCCTAACTGCTATCGGAACTGTTAAACGTTCTGAAGGCGAACTTTCAATAGCACCCCCAGAGAACGGTCTGCCTTATTTAATAAGCAGACAATCTTTAACCGAAGTTTTACAAGACTTGAAGGGAGGCACGCTAAACCCCAAGATTTTTATGGTCATATTCGGGGCAATCAGCTTCACAGCCATCTCATACATGGCGTACAGTAAATACCAGAAATACCTTGCTCGTAAGAAGCGAGAAGCTCTGATCCGCGAGATGGAGTCCATGAGGGACGCTAACGGAGACAGCACGGAGTCTTGTGTGGTGTGTCTAGATAACCCCAGAGGGACCGTGCTGATACCGTGTGGTCATGTCTGTGTGTGCTTATTGTGCTCCGAACAGGTGGACACGTGTCCTGTGTGCAGACATGAAATTGAGCAGATTGTTAGAACTTATAATGCTTGAGTTGTCAGAACTTTAAATACTTAAATAATTTGTGAGTTTTTATTTTATCACATAGTTCTGGAAATTGTCCGTTAGTTGCCGAATGTGTTTCATTGTAGTTATTTAACATGGACGGGAATGCTTTGAATTAAATGCATGGTTGATATCTTCTTTTCAAATCTTTGAAATATTGAAAACAATCCATGATTTTAGGTTACTTTTGTACCATGAGTTATTGTTTTTTTTCCGAATTTTGATAGCTGTGTTGATTTGTATGTATATTGCTATGTGTATATTTTATTTCAATTGATTTATGAATAAACATCGTTAATTCTGGCATTATCATTCGTACGGACTTGGGTGGCCATGAAATTGGTAAACTGGAAAATGTTACAATGCACATCTCGCACCTTTCACGTTCAATCTCTTACCACTCAATAACCATCTCTTGAACTGGACAAAAAAGTACAGAATAGGATTAAATAGGATTGAAATAAAAGTTGTTCACTTTCATGCATATAAAAGATTAGAACTCTATGTGTTCATGCATACGTATACGATATACATGTCTTCATATTTGAATAATCTCATTAAACTCTGTTTCTAGATCTTCCATCGATATTAGATTAGCAGTCGGTCCACAGCATGCAATGTTAACCTCACCTATGACGTCATAGTATGACAATGACCCATTTTCGTTGGCCTTTGTTGGTATTCACAAGTTCTGCAGCGCTTTACTGTAACTACGTTGCTTTTAAAACTTATAGGCTTAAAATCATCGAAGAACTCCAAAAGTTGTGGTTAAGATGGAAGAACAATGAATTGACAGAGGAAGCTAGATTTGATGCTGCAGAATCTGTGGTTTCTGCTCGGATTAGCTCTTCGCGTCAGATCATGGTTTCCAATGGATTGGCCACTGTTCTTTTGTTAGGTCAGTGCTGTAATCTCTTAAAGTTAGTTAAACAGGGACTTCCCTCTCAGTTGCTATGCACAAGTGCCATTATAGGAAGCATCTTATTCTACCAGACAGTCCTGTCCCTCTTGGAGTGTATTAGATTACAGCGGATCCGCAGAAAGATTGTAGTCCATGTAATTGCAAAGCTCGATGCTATTTTAACTTCTTCTTATCCCGATATCATCCTGAATACTTTGGTAGAGGCATTAATAAGAGACATATCTGAAGACCATCGTGGTAATCAAGGAGATGATCTAAATGTGAAAGGAGATGTTGAGCCCGGTCCTAATCCACATCTAAAAACATTTGAATCAAATGTTTTTAGAGTCCCAGCTGATGTAAAAGATGACGGCATCTTGTTAAAATCTGGAGTTGCTGAACACAAAGTACACCAGCCCGACTCGTTTCTATCAACAGAGAACTCTAAACCTGCTGACTTTTTATCTGCTACGTCCCTTCAGAACTTATACCTCGCAAGCAACGTTGACTTCGTAAAACATGGAAAAGTACTTCAGAGTTATACTTCTGAACCAGAAGACATTTGCATGGCCAAGAAAATCCTCTTGTACCAGATTAGGTACATTTATAAGACGTCCCCTATCCAAGCTAAAGGTCCATGACAGAATCCAGACCAAGGATAACCGAACCAACCCTGGAACCAATTTCGTGGCTTGTCTCACTATCATTTACTCTGATAGATTCTCATAAATTAAAAGCTCGAGATTATTTTTACACTAAATTTATGAGAATGTGTCAAACATTTATTACATTAGACTAGAGGTTTTCGTAATATTACAAATTGTTCATAGTTACTAATTAATAATTTTGCATGCATTTATGTCAACAATAATTTTAAAGTTTACGGTGTACTTATATTTTACATAAATTGTACATTACATACCGTTAATATTCCAGATTTGAGATATTTGTGCATTGTCTTTGCGTGTTTAACCACTGAATATTGCATGTTGTTACTTTTTAGTGAATTAGATCCCCACTTAACGGTAAAACAATTGAATTGGCAGTTTTGCATTGCTCTGAATTTTGATAATATTAGAATAGATACTGTGTTAGGTGTTAATGCTCTCACTGGAACAGAGATGTAGGATCTAAATGGACTATCTTACAAGCAACTGGAGTACTCTCTGCCTAGCATGTGCAGGAGGTGCACTAGGATACTACTACCAGTACAATCGACCTGTATCAGCTGATATTAGCATTGTCTACGCTAAAGTATTCGCTGAGAAAGTTCAGGATTATCTCTCCCTAAAAGATGAGATTATTGAACATGTAAAGGAGAGGATTCCCTTGAAGTCGAAACAAGAGGTAGATAAACTGGATATATTTCCAGATAAAACCTATATTGGTAGGATTTGGGAGAGTATTCAAGGTAACACTCATCTTAGTTGGTTCTGGGAAAGGTTTGCTAAACTTAAGCAACTCCTTTTGAAAGACTTGGACATAAAAGAGATACTAGAAGACTTGCACTTTTCGGAGATTCTGAGCACTATAAAGCGCAACAAACTCTTCTTAGTATTTAGCTGTACAGGATTCCTCTTAGTTTACTGCTCTGTTAAGAAGTTCGATAATCACAACGGGACTATCATCCGAGGAAGGTTTAGATCAAGAAATAACATGAGTGCCGAGCGATTTTCGAATCCTCTGGAACTGTTTTTGGGATATTGTCTCTATCAAACTAGAAGAGTAACAGAAATTTTAAAGAGAGATAAAGTTCCCTCGTCACTTTTTGTAGCTACTGTTTTGCTTGTTATTGTCAAACATTACGTTAAGATTGAATATCGTCCGGATCAGGATGTCTTTGTATTTGATTACAGTAAGAATTAAATTATATTTGTTTGTTATTTTTTTTGTAAAAATTCTCTTTGTAGTTATATGCTGATAATTAATTAATTAATACAAGTTGCAGATTATTTCGTGTTAATTGTCCACGAACTATTTTTGTTCGAATAGCATTACGATGTTATTGATAAGCTCATCTTTCAGAAATTGTTTTTTAATTATTTGAAATTTCATTCTTTCGTCAACTCAACTGCTAACCTCATCTAGGCTAAAGTATGTAATGAGTTCCGGAAGCAGCGTTGGAAGTCCCACTTCCACTCCAGTAAGCTTCTGTTGCCAACGTTGCGCTAGACCCCTCAAACTTGCCACATCCCTCCAGAATGTATCCCTCAAAAACTTCGGTGTGTTTTCATATTTTCACTATCTTTGAATTGATGCGCACAACCAGTAAAACTACTTTTGATCCAGCCAGTCAAATCGACAAAACAATGTATTCCAATAGTATTTCGTTTCCCATTATTGTTGCGGTAGTCCTGACTCCTTGTTCCCTCAGCCCATCTAACTGATGGAAGGAGTTCCACCCAACCCACCCCAGACTACCTCGCCAACCCACCAATTGACGTTCACTCCAACGATGGTGCTGACAGAAAGATTATCATAGACAACACAAGTAAAGATGATTTCTGTGTCCTTGCCAAGCCAGAAGCAGCGAAGACGGAAGCGTTCAGCTACAAGCTACGAGTAGCAATGCAGCTGTTTGATATTCTGTCCGAGAACTCTGAGATAGACCACCCGCTGTGTGAAGAATGTACCAACGTCCTCTTCCTCCAGCTAGATTCACAGCTCCGAACTTTGAGACAGGTACGGAAATTACCTCAAATGTTTTTCTCTTAGCTTTCATATCGTGAGAGTTAGAATATCATTCCAGTAAAATTACATACATTTAATACCAAAATACACGAACCAACCACAATAATGATGCGCTACTCAGGACTGTGCTGACTACCGCAAAGTTCTAGCCCAACTCCAGCAACAAGACTCCGCTATCACGTCCCAACTGGATGACGATATCGAGAACCTGCGTGCTGAAGAAGAAGCACTGTTGAAGGAGCTGGAGGATGTATCAGAGGAGAGGGGGAGTGTAGCTGCAGAACTGGCAGCACTGCAGCTCAGTGAGAAGGAGCTGGAGAAGGAGGAGGAGCAGCTCCACAGGGAGATTAACCAGTATGAGCAACGGCTATCTGAGGTGGGGACTAGTTTTATATAACTTTATTAGAGTGTTTTAAAATACAGGGTATATAGCACCGACTATCTGAGGTGGGGACAGGTTTTATATAACTTTATTAGAATGTTTTAAAATACAGGGTATATAGAATAAGAAAGGATGTGATTGACATGACTTAACATTTCATTCAAAAATAATCACCAAAATCGTCTCCACCAGGTGAACTTACAGCAAAAGTGTTTGGATGACGAACTGAAGTACTCCCACAACGAGCTGGAGAAACTGAAGAAAACAAACGTGTTTAACACAGTGTTCCACATCTGGCACGAGGGGCACTTTGGGACGATCAACGGGTTCAGATTGGGCAGATTGCCAACTTTTAATGTGGAGTGGGATGAGGTGAACGCGGCGTGGGGTCAGACTGCTCTGCTTCTTTACTCACTTGCTAATGCTAACAGCTTCGTCTTCCAAAGATATAAGGTTTGCTAACGAAATGATGATTTTGTCTACACAATTGATTTACCGCAATAAAACTTAAAACTCACATGTCGTCAAGCATTTCTACGTGCGTGATACAAGTCGTTTCATAATGTCCTGTGACGAATTATATTTCTTCGGTATCCAGTTGCACGATGTTTTTTAGGCAATATTTTATATCAAGACGTGTTATAGCTAAGCTATTTTGTTCAATTTATCAATGTTTTGTTTTACAGATTGTTCCGTTTGGCAGTCAGAGTTACCTGGAAGGTGAAACTAAGTTGCCTCTCTTCACCAACGGTGGTCTAAGATTATTCTGGGATGCCAAGTTCGACCAAGGCATGGTGGCCTTCTTAGACTGTCTCAAGCAATTTCTAGATTCTATTGAGAAAAAAGGTTCCTTCAACTTCCCTACAAGATCGACAAATCTAAAATAGGCGACCAGAAAGGGTTCTACAGCATCAAGTTACATTTCAACAGTGAAGAACAGTGGACCAAAGCGTTGAAGTTTATGCTGATAAACCTAAAGTGGGCACTGACTGTAGTTGCTCACAGCAAACCTGCGAAGTAGTAATGAGTGAAACTAACCAGAACAGTTAATAATAACTATGGTTTATTTGGGTAGTATGATGAGGTCACGGCCCAGTACCTGGAATGTTTTCTGCTATATTATGGACGATTGAAATATATTATACTTTTAGAATAGAGACAGATATGTCAATATTCTCAGTGCTGTTCAGTATGCATTGCATGCGATGCTATCTTTTTTGTATTTTGTTTCGTTGTAAATAGTTGAATAATTTGATTTTCTTGAAATTTACTTGATTTTGTTTTGATAGCGATTACAAATATTTGTAATTAAAATGTTGAATATTGATTTTATTGAATACAAAATGTGCTGTTACGATTGTTAACGCTTTAATTGTTAACGGGGTGTTACCTTTCTCAATTCTGACCTTGTATTATCGATAAAACTTTTGAAATTTTATGCGTGCTTTGTGAGTGACAGTGAAATTGGCCACAGTTAATCTCCTTCAAATTGTATGACTCGCAATTTAAAATAACATTTAATTAATCTGTTTACTCTCTAGCAAGATGTAGACAATAATTATTGTCCATTTTCCAACGCACAACTGAAGATATAATGGACGATTACGAGCAATACTATCAGGTAAAAATCAATATCCATAAAATTAATTGAACGCTTAATGCAACTGAGAGTTGTGGTTTACTAATTTGGTTTATCACATAGTATTGTTTGCTATAGAAAATGCAGGGAATTCGCTAGCAACAGATTGTCAGTTTCTGTTTCTTGATAGTAGTCCTTGCTACATATTTAAATTTTTATCATTCGCCTACATCATAGTCAAGATCCTTCGGTTATAGTCCATCGGTTCTTTTATAAACATTGGACATTGTTGAAAAGATATTATGCTTGATACGATCTTTAAATTAAATGAATTGGTACAATAATCTCAAGTTTCACAGCATCCATCCAGGACCAAGATGACGACGGTAACGAGGTTACAGAGATGTGGCAGGAGGCCTGCTGGCACATCATATCCTCTTACTTCGCTGAGAAGGGTCTTGTCATTCAGCAGCTCGAGTCTTTCGATCAGTTCATCCTGGTGAGATTAAGTTATTATTTAAGTTAGTATCATAAATTATATAAGTGTAGGTCGATTTGTTTCCTTTGATTTGTTTCCTTTGATCTGTCAACACAATGTCAATATGCAACTATTTCGGCTTTTATGATGAAATAATTATCTTCGTTTAATTACTTGCGACGTGTCCCCTCCATTTTTTGACAGATCTATCAATCTTCAATAGGTTAATCAAGACGCCCATTTCCTCAGAAAAAAGTGCAGTCCATAGTAGAGAAGTCTCCTCCAATAGAGCTAGTAGCTGAGCAACAGTACACCTCAACAGAAGAGGACATTCCCACTAGATACTTTATCAAGTTTGAGCAGATCTACCTCCAGAAACCCACTCATTACGAGAAGGACGGCTCCGGGTCTCCTCTAATGCCTAACGAGGCTAGACTTCGCAATCTTACTTATTCTTCTATGCTGTTCGCTGGTTAGTATGTTTGAAAAAACATAATTTTAATCCATGAATATTTTTATAGCTAAATCAATCTGAACACGTAATGCAACTGAGAGTTGTGGTTTACTATTTTAGTTTATCACATAGTATTGTTTGCTATAGAAAATGTAGGGAATTCGCTAGCAACAGATTGTCAGTTTCTGTTCCTTGATAGTAGTCCTTGCTACATTTTTTGATTTCATTGCGTTGATTTGCATGCAAATCTCTTCATGCGTCGCTTGATTTCACCCATTATATGATAAAAATGACTGTTTAACTTTTCTGTTCAACACGGTTCACTAATCAATACCTTTTTCCTCAGACATAGTAAAGCGAGTAGAAAAAGAAGACTGCGAACCTGAGGAGTACATGCACGAGCGAACATTTATCGGTCGTCTCCCGGTCATGTTACGATCAGTCTGCTGTCTCCTCAACAAACTATCAGATCGTGATCTTAACGAGGTTAACGAGTGTCCGCTAGATCCGGGCGGTTATTTCGTAATCAATGGATCAGAGAAAGTACTGATCGCTCAGGAGAAGATGACAACAAACACTGTGTTCATTTTCCAGAAGAAGGATTCTAAGTATGCGTATGTTGCTGAGATTAGGTCCATGATTGAGAACTCTTCCCGGCCAGTGAGTACCATGTGGGTTTCCATGTTGGCCAGGGGTGGACAGAGCAGTCGTAAGACTGGTATTGGACAGAGAATAGTGGCTACTCTCCCGTATGTCAAACAGGAGATCCCTATCATGATCATCTTCCGTGCCCTCGGTTTTGTGTCAGATCGAGACATTTTGGAGCATATCATTTATGATTTCGACGATCAGGAGCTTATGGAAATGCTGAAACCGTCACTTGACGAAGCTTTTGTTGTTCAGGAGCAAGAAGTTGCTCTGAACTTCATCGGAGTCAGAGGAGCGAGAGCGGGAGTTCCCAAAAACAAACGTATCAAATATGCCAAGGACATCTTGAAAAAGGAAATGTTGCCCCACGTGGGTATCGGTGATTTCTTCGAGACGAAGAAAGCTTATTTCCTGGGTTATATGGTTCACAGACTCTTGCTCGGAGCGTTAGGTCGTCGTGAGCTGGATGACAGAGATCATTACGGTAACAAACGTCTCGATCTAGCTGGACCCCTTCTTAACTTCCTCTTCAGAACTTTGTTCAAGAAACTTCAGAAAGAGATCAGATTGTACTGCCAGAAGTTTGTGGATCAAGGCAAGGATTTCAACTTGACAGTCGCTGTTAGACCAGACACAATTACAAACGGCATGAGATACTCCTTAGCCACGGGTAACTGGGGTGACCAGAAGAAAGCTCACCAAGCTCGAGCTGGTGTGTCCCAAGTGCTCAACAGACTCACGTACGCCTCCTCCCTCTCTCATCTCCGGCGGGTTAACTCCCCCATAGGACGAGACGGTAAGATAGCCCGACCTCGGCAACTTCACAACACTCACTGGGGCATGATATGTCCTGCAGAGACTCCCGAGGGAGGTGCTGTGGGTCTCGTCAAGAACTTAGCTCTCATGGCTTACGTGTCTGTTGGGTCTGATCCTACCTTCATTTTGGAGTTCTTGGAGGAGTGGGCAACGGAGAATCTAGAGGAGATCACAGCGGCGTCCATTGCAAATGCTACCAAGATATTTGTAAATGGCTGCTGGGTGGGTATTCACAGGATACCAGATCAACTGATGTTCACTCTTAGGAAACTGAGGAGAGAGATGGATATCGTTGCTAGTGAAGTTTCCATAGTCAGGGACATCCGTAATAAAGAGGTTAGTCGTGGGTTGTACCTAGTGTTACGTTATTCAATCAGGGTGGAAAATTCTATTACTTCTGCTAGCTTCTATTTCGATTTACAAAATGTTGAAATTTCAGTTCTATTCAACCACATACATCTGACTAGATTATCCTAAAATCTATTTTCTCTAGATCAATATCTGGGCGGATGCTGGTCGAATTTCAAGGCCACTGTTAATCGTTGACAACGGTAAACTGATTCTGAAGAAACATCATATTGACAAGCTCAAAAACCGAGACAACACAAACTTCGGGTGGCAGGACTTGGTGCAGAACGGAATCGTGGAGTATATCGGTAAGTTTAGTTTACAAACCCTTAACAAATTATTTGAACACGTAATGCAACTGAGAGTTGTGGTTTACTATTTTAGTTTATCACATAGTATTGTTTGCCATAGTAAATGTAGGGAATTCGCTAGCAACAGATTGTCAGTTTCTGTTCCTTGATAGTAGTCCTTGCAACATTGTTAGGTATCTCCTTATCTCATAATATTCGCTCTCTCTAGAAATTAAATATTCTAAATTGTGAAATATTCCAGACACGCACGAGGAAGAGAACTGCATGATAGCGATGTTACCAGAGGACCTAGAAGAAAAGAAAGTGTACTCCAAAACCTTCACCCACTCAGAGATCCACCCTAGTATGGTTCTAGGAGTGTGCGCGAGTATTATACCCTTTCCTGATCACAACGCTAGTCCCAGGAACACTTACCAAAGTGCTATGGGTCAGTGTTTATCTTTGTGTTACATTGAGTTTATCTTTGTGTTACATTGAGTTTATCTTAGTGCTTTGTGGGATTCTTTCTAATAAATGAGTTCAACTTCTCGGCCCTTTTAAATGAATCACTAGATTTATCCAACGCGTATGCTAAAACGTTATATTCCTCAGGTAAGCAAGCTATGGGAGTGTACATCACAAACTTCCACATTCGTATGGACACCCTAGCTCACGTGCTATTCTACCCTCAGAAACCTCTCTCCACTACTCGTAGTATGGAATATCTTCACTTCAGGTTAGCTGGTTTATATTCTACACTAATATGGAACTAGAATTATAAACAAACGCTAGGATTTGTTCTTTTTGATTATTCTTGATCACATTCCCGACTGTTTTCATCCTTCAACTTAACCAATTGTCAAAGTTAATTAAATAGTCTAAACCTACTTATTTCAGAGAGTTACCAGCTGGTATTAACACGATAGTTGGTATCATGTGTTACACTGGGTACAACCAGGAGGATTCTGTTATCCTCAATCAAAGCGCCATCGAGAGAGGCTACTTCAGATCCGTCTTCTACAGGTTCGTTAAACACAGGTGTAACACATGTGACACACGTAACACATGTAACGCATGTTACATGTAACACATGTAACACATGTCATGCAACTGAGAGTTGTGGTTTACTATTTTGGTTTATCACATAGTATTGTTTGCTAGATTAAATGCAGGGAATTCGCTAGCAACAGATTGTCAGTTTCTGTTTCTTGATAGTAGTCCTTACTACATACTTTGCTATGATTTTAATTATTTGAGTAGATCAAAGTCACAATCTTAAGGTATATACACGTTGTTATTACACTAGTATCCTGACCAAACTCCCTGCAGATCATATCGTGACAGCGAGACAAAGAAAGGGTTAGACCAAGAAGAACAGTTCGAGATACCAGACCCTAACACATGTAAAGGAATGAGACGTGCTATCTATGAGAAAATAGAGGATGATGGTCTCATCGCTCCTGGCATGAGGGTATGATACTTGCTTCTTAGTTCACATTTCCCTTGTCAATTCCTTTGCTTCTTCGAGTTTTTACAGTTTCCCTTGACCGTTCCCTCCAATTGCACGCACCCTCCAATTGCACGCACCCTCCAATTTTCTGGTAGTTCTGGATTCTGCAAGTATTAACCCGATTCCCCCCTTCAGGTTAGTGGAGATGATATTATAATCGGTAAAACTTGTCTGCTACCTGAGGAGGAGACTGAGGCTGATGCTCCTAAACGTTTCGTCAAGAAGGATTGCTCTTCTGCCCTCAGGTTATTATACTTCTATATGCTTGATTACTTAATTTGAATTTTGTTATTTAAATTTAGATATCTTACGTGAAATTTAGGTTTATAATATTCTAACTTCAATGCAACTGAGAGTTGTGGTTTACTATTTTGGTTTATCACATAGTATTGTTTGCTATAGAAAACGCAGGATATTCGCTAGCAACAGATTGTCAGTTTCTGTTCCTTGATAGTAGATCTTGCTACACACTTCCACGATGGTCCCAAAAAAGAACCAAGACAAATACGCCTAGTCAAGAACACTGACTGGGCGAAATTTGACGAGATTCTTTACAACAACAATGATCTCCACAACACCTGCGTTAACACACCAGACGACATTGATCACAAAGTTAACACCATTAATACTGCTCTCCGAGCGGCCTTCGAGGAGGCATGTCCCATTACTTACATCTCCAGCGCTGTCAGAAAACCACCCTGGCTAACTCGAGAAGTTGAGGAAGCACAGAGGGGTATAAGACGCAAACTCATCACAGCTCGTCGAATCAAAACTGATGCTTCGTGGCTCGCTCTTAGAGAAAGCAACAAGCAATACAACAAGATCCTGTCCAACTCCCAGCGCAATGCGTGGCGGAAATTCTGCGCAGACACAGAATCGGTTAAGGAATCTGGAAGGATGAACAAGATTCTGAAAACCTGTACTGACACCAATAACAAACTTGAAGCCGTTTATAAACCAAATGGCGAACTCACCAAAAACGCAGAGGAGACACTGGAGGTCATGACACAAACCCACTTCAAGGAGAGTGTTACTGATCCGCCAGTTCCGCCTCTCTGCCCCTTACCCATCTCCACAGACTTACTAGACAAAATCTACAGCCCTGAAAGAATCGAAAAGGCTCTCCTATCCTTCGATCCCTTGAAGGCTGCAGGACCTGACACTCTAAAACCTATCATATTCCAGAAAGCCTGGGCTCATATCAAAGACATAACAAAAAACATTATGACAAAAAACCATGAAACGCAACACATCCCAACTTTGTGGAGGGACTCTCTTGGAATCTTTCTCCCTAAGCCTGGAAAAACCGACTACAACAAAGCTAAGTCATTTCGAACGATCACTCTTTCGCCTGTGATGTTAAAGTTGCAGGAGAAAGTGATCTTATGGCATATGCAACATGACCTCAACATAGCTAATGATATCAACAAACGACAATTCGGCTTTAAGAAGGGCTGCTCCACAGAAGCGGCACTTCATAAAGTTACTCACACCATTGAGCGCAGAATAGCCAAGAAAGGATATGTCCTAGGTGTCTTTCTAGATATAGAGGGCGCCTTCGATAATGTCTCGTTCAAGGCTATCTCTGAAGCAGTCAAGGCTACGAAAGTGGACTTGGCTACAGCACAGTGGATCATCAACATGGTAACCAATCGATTCATCACACTAAATCATAAGGATAAGTCGAGAAGGGTACGGATCAGGCGAGGTTGCCCCCAAGGAGGCATTCTCTCTCCTTTTCTCTGGAACCTGGTAGTCGACGATCTCCTTTCCTTTACCGCAAAAGACATCCCGGGTTACCTGCAAGCCTTTGCGGATGATCTGTTGTCTCTAGCGGAAGGGGATGATTTAGACATCATCTGGGACCGAACATGCAAAACTATTAAAACGATAGAAAATTGGTGCAGAACCAAAGAGCTATCTATTAGCGCCCTTAAAACTCAGATAGTCATGTTTACCTGGAATAGTAAGTGGACTCTAAGACCTATAACAGTTGGCAACAACATTATAGGTCTTTCCAAGTCTGCTAAATTTCTAGGAGTGACCTTGGACAGCAAACTCAACTTCAATGAACATATCATCAACACCACCAAAAAAGCCACGGCATCCCTCATGCAATGTCGAAGAGCTGTCGGCCCCACATGGGGTATGAGCCCAAAAACATGCAAATGGATGTACACGGCTGTCATCCGTCCAATCCTATCCTACTGCTGTAGTATATGGATCAGGGCCACTCAAACGGACTATAACGCGAAGAAACTCAAACGTGTTCAGGCATTGGCACTCAGAATGATGTCTGGTGCCATGCCAAGCACACCTTTTATCGCATTGAATCACCTCACCGACACTTCTGACATCATACTGTTCCTGCAAGGCGAAGCAGCAAAGGGTGCGGCCAGGCTACAAGCTTATGGCAGCCTCACTCTTGAAACTATCGCTTTCAGGAAGGGAACTATCAAAAATCATACCACTATCAACAAACAATTCATGGCAGACCTCATTATCCCACCTAGAGCAACGAGAGACCTAACAACACCAACCATGATGCTGGGACGGCACTTCACCGTCACAACTCCTGGAGCCGATACCACTGAATATAGAAATTCACTTCAAAACACCATCGACAACATTACCAGTGAAACGATCACCTGCTACACTGACGGGTCACTCACAGACTCAGGATGCGGGGCTGGCTATATCATCACAACTGACAACAATAACACCACCCTTGAAGAAAGATCATTCAAGCTCCCTGATTATTGCACTGTTTACCAAACAGAGCTCACCGCCATCATTGAAGCTTGCAAATATCTCTCTACCTATACCAACACACATATCATCATATGGTCTGACAGTCTCTCATCTATTCAAGCTATCTCTGCGCTTTCAACGCGAAGTAGAACTACAAGAGACTGTTACGACTCTCTTAATGCACTCGGATCCAACAACACGCTAGAGATACGATGGATTGCAGCACACATCGGATTGTGGGGGAACGAAAAAGCAGATGAGCTGGCCAAGCTTGGTACAACCAGTGAATCCACTTTGAAGTGTCCAATTCCACAATCCTACATCAAGCGTCAAATCGACAACAAAGTCAACAGACTGAATCAGGAAACTTGGTTAACTGACGGTCCCAGACACACCAAACTGACACTCGGCCACAAGCATGCCAAAATCATCAAAAACCTCAACACTACACTCAGCAAAAACAGACAAGATTACAGAACTGCAGTTCACCTCATCACGGGTCACTGCGGCTTAAACAAACACCTTCACACCATTTGCAAATCAAACACCAGTGCTTGTCCTATGTGCGGCGACGGAGAGGAAACTGTCTCACACTTCCTTGGACAGTGTCCAGCTATTGCCCAAATTAGAGGTCAATATTTCCAGGACTACTACCTCTCTGTCAATGACATATTCGACAACCAACACATCACCACAATTGTCAATTTCGCAAACCGCACCAAACGCTTAATTGTGCCGGAAGAGCTGGATCAGACCGGGGTGACTTAAAGTATTAGCTCATATGCTGTCTCGTCTCGTTTTACTTTTCCAAACCCAGCTGGCATTTAAGCGTATCATTTTGACTCATATATCATCTTACACCATCCTCCACCAATCACTCTGATTTCACCGGCAACCTTCCCCAAGGTTGCCACACCCCAGAGGTAGGCAGAGCATCTCAATGCTATCCTCTCGTGGGCTATCTTGGCCCAGCCTCTCTTAAAAAAAAAAAAAAAACACTTCCACGATGATGCCCTATATTATTTAAAGAACCTCCAGATAGTCGGTTCCATTTTCCCTTTTTTAAATTCCCCCCCTTCCGTAATCAACCGTAATCAGACCCAACCCCCCGCCCCCCTCCTGACAGCAAATTACGTAATCATGGCCTGTGAACCCCCCCCCCCACCCCCCCCCCCTTGACTTTTTTCCTTGAAAACACTTTTCCTCTACATTTCATGATACCTGATCATGCTATCATGATGACCGAAATCATTTATGGTTTGTGAATTAATCCGGCCAAGCACCTTCTAAACTACTGACTATTAGAGGCCGATATTCTGAGTCAATTTCTAAATTTTATCATTATCAGAGTGAAATTGAGTGAATTTGAATTAATAATATCGTCAAATTGTGTATTATTACTAGAGGTATAATAAGAAAATTTTGATTACGTAATCAACGACCGAACCCCCCCCCCCCCCCCTCGCCCGTAATCAACATATGCACACCATCGAGGATCCTATGCAATTCAAAGCGGCTTTAACGAACTTTGTGAAGTCATTTCCGGACGAGCCTCCAGCTCCAGGATACAGCCGTCGGAATGGAAACTCCTTGCTTGATTGGAGTGGTGATAAAACAGTTTCTACACTGTCCGGGGGGTCGACTTTTTCGATGGCCCGATAGAGGATTCTATGAAACCCTACAAAGTAACAAAGTAAGTAACCAAGTGTCCTGTCAATTTTTCCTGATATAACCGACCTAATATGTTCTCATGAACATTCAGACCAAGACACAGGACTTCATTTAATGGACATGAGAGTTGCCACGATGCCAGGGAACATCTTTTTATTCCAAGAATGCAAAGATCGATTACCTGGTGATAAATTGTATTATGAAATTATCTTCTCACCTCGAAATAAATCTTCATGCATATCATTGCAATCACACGGTAACAGGAAAGGATGGGTCGATTATAATTCTTCCCTTAGTAAAAGTCATAGCTTTATTCTTTTTGATGCTTCTAAACCTCATCTTCCCAAATATCCTCTATTTGTTAGGGATTCTGGACTATTCGTCATTGAAGATCTCACTAAATGTTCCAAAGAATTTCGCTTTATGTTTTACAAACGCACTGATGAGTGATAGTCAGAATATTTTAAAAAGCTAACGAAGAAATTTGTCTTAATGTCTATAAAAGACGATGGTTGGTTTGCAAAAATAACCTTCAACCTGTGCATAATGTGTGTAAACTTGTTTATCATTTTATTTTGAGTTTTAAATTTGATTATGTAAATTAATAGAGGGACGTTACGTCGCTTTGACTGCTCAATTATATTTTATTCTTTTACTCAAGTGTAGCACATGATCATAATTGTAATTGATCAAAGGTATTCACAATAACCGCACATTTTAATTGTTTAAATGTTATTCCCCCAATTCCAACTGTATGTTGAGTTTAGTATACTTTTGTAAGTTAAAATGTTAGTTCAAATACACATCATAGTTCATTCTGCTAAAAGAAGCTTTGTTCCTGCCTACCTCTGTTTAAGTCATCGAAATTAGTGATCGAAATTTGAATTCATGAAGGTATGAATATCATGACTTGGTTGATATTTGAAATTACGAATTACGAATCACTATGAAATAATTGTCATCTTTATTCAGGATTCATGTGATGGCGGAGGCAGTTGAGAAAAGCGAGTCTTTTAAAAAATGGCAGATGGAGGTTTTGAATAATCTTCAGTCTCTGCCTTCAACTGAGCCCCCAGACAGCTGCATTATAGTGGGCACTGAACGTATTCCTGTCCACAAAACAGCCCTACAACTTAACAGTTCCCTTTTAACTTCTGGAGATGTCGCTTACAACAAACAGTCTGATTTAATTGAGATTGAAGTTGTACCGGAATTCTCGGAATACTTTCAACTAGTTTCTGAGATAGTGAACAGTTTTTATACTGGCAAGCTTGATGTTGTTGAGGAAAACATGCAAATTGTTTACAAGTTTGCCAAATGTTATTCTATTCAGTGGATAATGGACTATGTTAGACCAAGTTTTGTAGATTACATAAAGAAAGATGAAGGCTGCGAGAGATTTGTGGAGATTCTGAAGTTTGCTCAGTCCATTTGGTGCACTGATTTGTCTGATACTGTTGTGAGCTTCTTGATTCTGAGTCTGCTTGATAGAATTTCTGAGCCTGATGTAATTTCACAATTCGATTTCTTTACAATAAAATCGATCACATCATCAGATCAACTGAAGATTCCCGAGAAAGATGTGTTTGATTTAGTTGTAGCTTGGCTGAAATTGAATTCAAGTCGCTGTCACAATTTTGGTGCCATCTTGGAGAGTATTCAATATCACTTAATTGAAAGCGATTATTTATCGGATGCAGTATTTGATTTTGTTTTGGAACAACCAAATCTCCCTGATTGTTCGAGGAAAACTGTTCTTAAGAAGGTAAGGAATTCAATGAAACAGGTTCCAGAACGAAATACCCGTTTTATGATCACGGAGAAACCGCGTAGATCATGGATTAGCAGTTCAGCTGTAGTCAGAACCTTTTCTCCTAAGAATGATGAATGTTTACGTAAAGTAGCTCTGTGGATGCGAGGTGAGAGGAAAGAAGGAGACAACGCAATCGTCATCTCAAAAGAAGAACTAACATCCGTTATAACTGATAAGTTGAAATTCATGGTGGATAATGATCGAGAAGTGTTCGTCAATTATCTTTGCAGCTACAACCCTTATTTCAAATTTTATGATAGAATTCTTCCAGTTTATGATGTCTATCCTAGTCCTAAATTGTTATGGCTATTCTTGGAGCACTGTATCAGTAGAAACTACGAAGTATTGTACAACATTCCTTGGCATGAGGTATCATTTCAAACGATATCAGCAATTTTAACAAATTCGGCAATTCTGGATCATCTTTTAGAGTTCGATTGTAAACATGAATTCAAAAGGATGGATAAGTACAGTAAGCACAGTATCTATTCTGAAAGGTTTGAAGGATGTGGACAGGTTGAATTGATAATGCTTTGGGCGTTAGCTAATCCGCTTCAGAAGGACAAAATCAAGCTGCTCCTGGACACAGTGTGTTTTCGGAAGATACCTAAACTATATAAAGAAAATATTCTGCTACCAAGTGTCCTGACAATTTTTCCTGATATAACCGACCTAACTTGTTCTCATGAACATTCAGACCAAGACACAGGGCTTCAATTAAGGGACATGAGAGTTGCCACGATGCCAGGGAAGATCTATTTTCTCCAAACATTGCAATATCAATTAGGTTTTGATAAATTGTACTATGATATTGATTTCTCACCTGGAAATAAGTCATCGTGCATATCATTGCAATCACACGGTAACGGGAAAAGATATCAGTACAATTATGATGTTTCGCTTAGTAAAATTCATAGCTTTATTCTTTTTGATGCTTCTAAACCTCATCTTCCCAAATATCCTCTATTTGTTAGGAGTTCTTGTCTTTCCACCATTGAAGATCTCACTAAATGTTCTAAAGAATTTCGCTTTATGTTTTACAAGCGTACTGACGAGTGCAGTGATAGTCGAAATATTTAAAAAAGACAATGGATAGCTTTGTCTCGATGCCTCTGAGACCTACTGTAAAAGAGACCTACTGTAAAAGAGACATACTGTAAAAGAGACCTTCTGTAAAAAAACCTTCTGTAAAAGAGGCCTACTGCAAAAGAGACCTACTGTAAAAGAGGCCTACTGTAAAAGAGGCCTACTGTAAAAGAAACCTACTGTAAAAGAGGCCTACTGTAAAAGAGACCTACTGTAAAAGAGACCTACTGTAAAAGAGGCCTAATGTAAAAGAGGCCTACTGTAAAAGAAACCTACTGTAAAAGAGACCTACTGTAAAAGAGGCCTACTGTAAAAGAGGCCTACTGTAAAAGAGACCTACTGTAAAAGAGGCCTACTGTAAAAGAGACCTACTGTAAAAGAGACCTACTGTAAAAGAGACCTGCTGTAAAAGAGACCTACTGTAAAAGAGACCTACTGTAAAAGAGGCCTACTGTAATAGAGGCCTACTGTAAAAGAGGCCTACTGTAATAGAGGCCTACTGTAAAAGAGGCCTACTGTAAAAGAGACCTACTGTAAAAGAGGCCTACTGTAAAAGAGGCCTACTGTAAAAGAGGCCTACTGTAATAGAGGCCTACTGTAAAAGACGATGGCTGGTTTGCAAAAATAACCTCCATCCTATGCATAATGTGTGTAAACTTGTTCATCATTTTATTTTGAATTTTAAATTTGATTATGTAAATTATTATTAACGTTGTTTTGATTGCTCAATAAAGTTGTATTCTTTTACTCAGGTGTCACACATAATAATAATTGTAATTGATGCACCAGGGTTTTTACAAAAAGGTATTCACAATAACTGCAGATTTTAATTTTGTAATTTTTGTATGAGTTATTGATTTACTGTTCTGATATTTATTTAAATCATTAATGTCAGAAAAAGTTTGATGAGGAAGTTAGCTGATTAATAAACTGTATTAATTTTTAAAATGTTGTTTTGAAGATTCTTTATGTTCTGATTTTTAGTTTTAGTTTTTGATTATTAACACATCTGAGGTTAAATTCTTTGTGTATTTTGTATTCCAATTGTTGTACTGTTTGGTTTTAGGACCAATTTGTAATCATTATTTTGTAAGTTTCTTCATTTAATTGTGTAGAACTTAAATTATAATTAAATCAATGACCTTGTATTTAAACTTAGTTTCCCCTATAATCTATACAGTTCAGAACACAATCAAACGATAACAATAACCATCAAATTAAACCTCACCCAAGCAAAATGTTAAAACCCCGTCTGTTCTGTAAACACAGAATATCCCTCACAAACCTACGATATAAATCCTCCGACAGCAGACACACTTCTGTACCCAAAACTATACCCATACACAAATCTCGGATAAGGAGCGTGCCTGGTGATTTCCAGGTTATCGAGGGTGAGAAGGGCTTGTTTCATAAGGAAATACCGTTCGGTAACTGGAGGGCTGCATCTTTGTAAGTTACATCACATAATTTAGAAGTATTTTAATGGTGATTCTAATGATTCTAATGAATTTTGCATCAGATTTTACCATTTGTTGCATGAGTGGTGTTTATAACGATGAATTCCTTAAAACAGATTTCATTATTTTCAGTGTGAGTTACTTTCCTACAGTTCCTTATGTTCCAGAAGGTTTCAATGATAAGCGGACCATCAAATCAGAGGTTAGAATCTAGATAACTGATAACTGCTTGCATTCAAAAGTCATTTTACTTCCTTTTTAATCCACGCTGAACTTTAATCTCACGTCATAAAGTTAAAATTGCTTTTAAATTTTAGAATTACTCACGAGTTTGACCTGTTGCTCAGTGTATATTGCATTTGACCGCTGTACACAATATATTGTCCTCCATCCTTGGCCCTTAAGTTTCATGTTTCAAGTCGTTTGTGACAGTGGGGCAAATCTCTTGACGTGAACACATGGCCTCTTGTACTGTTATGTAGGCGGCGGAGAAAGTTTTAGTAGGTTCGCTGCGCACAATTACGCGCAGAAATGGCCAAAATTCTCGCGCGCATCATGTCATTTAAATTTCGGTATCCGACCGACTGTCTAGTCAGTAATCATGATGTTGCGTTAATTATCTCAGATCTGAGATCAGCAGTTAGTTCAAGCACCACCTCCGAAGTCTCTTGTGCACCAGATTTCGGAGGATCACCATTCTTTACTAATGTCGGATCACTTTTCTCAGATAACGGGAGAATCATATCACATTGGGACCACCGATTATGCGGTAACCAGAATAGCAGAATGCGGTGGATTGGACGCTTACCTTTTGAAAACTCCAGAGGATGAGATTGATTCACAATTCGGAGTTGAGCTGAAGCGGCTCATCCTCACGGTAAACTAACAGTTCATTCGAGACGTCGATAGAATAATACAGCACTCACTACTTAATTAATTGATTTTAACAATCACAACACTACATATATCCAAACTAATGGCATGGCATAGCAATATCTACGATATCCTAAATCAGTCCCTAACAAACTTAGCGCGAGTCTGAAAGGCTGTTGGAAGCACAGAGTGCTCCATATTTTGTTTTATCAATAAACCTTTCTTTTTTCATTTCCTTTTTTTTAATTTATTAACTGCGTGCAAATTTCTGTTTCAGATTTGATCTATTTATGATATATATTTATGATTATGTAATAAAGTTATTATATTCGTAAACATTGGCTGGCTTACAAACCAGTCCCCAAACTGCATGATGTATCGCTATCAAATCGAGCTTTATTCTGATTATAATATGCAAAACAAATTCTCATCTTAATAACATTATCACTAGGTTTAGTCATACTGATATGAATTAGGGAATAAGCCTTAAATTCCCGCAGATACTAGAGTCAGAAGAATTACTGGAATCTCCCATCACTACAGACGAATGTTTAAGACAATCTCTCAAGTTGGAAGCCATGCTAGGATTCAAACTGTCAACTACCGACAGTATGATTAGTGACGTTTTGCATGAGAAGGATATTGATGATGATGATAATCTTATAGGGAACATTTTTGATCAGTTAGACGATGAGATGTGAGCAGTTAATGTGTATTTAGAGCACAGAATGAGCTAATTTTGAATACCGGGCCGAGAGGAAATAATATTTACTGCAAACGTAGTGAAAACTCAAAACTGTATGATTACACTAAATTAGACACAGAAAATAGTTTCTTGAATACTTACAGCAACTTGTGACCCTTGAACCTTAGTATTTGTAGAGGTTCGATGACATCTGCCTGTTTTTATCAACCATATATGTGCAATTATGATGAAATTAATTTATTACTTACTTATATTTTCATACCTTACGAATTTACCGGTTTATCATAATTTTGTCATTCTTCGCGTTGATAAATGTATAATATCCTATCAAGTTACAACTCAGAATCAGATAGGTGATTTATTCGGTTTCCATCCATTTCAACACGACTTGTTAGCCCATAATCTCTCCAATAGGATGGGTATAACAGGACTGCTCCCATTCCTCTCCAACATCCACAAGAAAGTGCACGTAGGTCAGTATGCTGGGCGGTGTGTGGCTGTTGATACCTCCTGCTGGTTACATCGCGGTGCTTTCTCCTGTGCTTTCGAGCTTGCTACAGGTATTTGTTACACTTCATCGTTACACTTCATCGTTACACTTCATCGTTACACTTCATCGTTACACTTCATCGTTACACTTCATCGTTACAATTCATCGTTTCATCAAAACAAGTTGTTTGTGTATATGCAGCAAAATTTTAGATTCATCGTATTGACAGCATCTAGTTTTACAAATGTTCATGTTCAAGGTTTGAGTCCAACTCTATTTTCAGGACAACCCACGACAAGGTATGTGAACTACATAGCGAAGCGTATAAAACTACTGCTCTATAACAAAGTCTACCCTGTGATGGTGTTTGATGGTTGTAACACTCCCTCCAAGAAGAATACCAATGAAAAGAGAAGGGATGTCAGACATGTCAGTTATAAACAATGTTATCTTAAATATTTCCTCAATATTTGCAACCCTCACTCGCTTAATTAATACTTAGTATCGTGTTTTAGAACCTTTACTTGGAAAATACTTGGAAAATACTTGGAAAATACTTGGAAAATACTTGGAAAATACTTGGAAAATAAAACATCTAAATTCTACTTTTATCCCCAGGCTAATAGAGAGAAAGGAAAGAAGTTGCTTGCGGAGGGAAACAAGAGTGGGGCAGTGGACATGTTCCAAAAAGCTATCAGCATCACCAACGATATGGTTGTTGAGGTAAACCCTGATCTGCTGTTTATTTATTACGTTATTTTATCTTTATATTCTCCATACCACTTCTTTTCGATTTTTTCATTGTCCTAAAAAACATATCTATTAGTTTAGTTTCTCATATCTGTTTCTCAGGTGATAAAGGAATGTAGCGCGATGAATGTCCCTGTTATTGTAGCACCGTATGAAGCCGATGCTCAGATTACTTATCTCGTTAAATCTGGGGTGGTTGATTTCGCTATTACAGAGGATTCCGATCTTTTACCGTTCGGCTGCCAGGTAAGAATTGGAGAATGTCCCTTATTGTCATCTCCATGTTTCATAATTTTTTAATAAATTATTACTACTTTTCATAACTAAACAGATCCACTGTTCTATAAATAGATCTGACATTATCACCCTCAGAAAGTCCTCTTTAAGATGGACGAGCAAGGGTACGGTATTGAGATAGACTTGTCCGACCTGGGCAAGTCAACTGATGAACCTAGATTCGATGGATGGTCTATCGAGAAGTTCAGGTAATTTAACGTTACAAATTTATGAGTGTTTTAGCTAGATAGGTAATTGTTGAAGATTTGGGCCGTTTAAGGGGGGGGACAATGGATATTTTTTTGTGAAACTTGATTTCGAGATAGCAGTTGACCAACAAACTAGGACCAGTGACCGAACTTTTGAGGGGGTCCCGGACCCTAACCGCCAAACGGTGCCCGCGGGGCAGCCACGCCCATATTTGGTCCAAATTAGGCCCAATTTAGCCAAATACCCTGAACATGCCCAAAACCCTGATTTTAGGTGCTCTACTTGTAGCTAGTGATCTCCTGAACTCGTATATGAAATTTCATCAAGATTGGACAAAAAATGACTGAGTTATGGGCCAAAAACCATATGCCCATATTTGGGCATACGCACCAAATTTGGTAGATTTCGTCCCTTAAATTGGGCAAATATCAATATTTTTGAATGAAACTTACTTTATAAGAAAGGTAAGCCTAAAATACATATTCTCTGTAAGTTATAGCTTTATATCTGTTTAAATGTGGATACTAAGGCGAAAAAACCACAAAAAATGAACTAAATTGCCCGTATCTTGGTTCGCGATATTTGCGGAATTGATCTCATTAAAATTGTAACAACTCAATCAGTTTTCAAAATTTTTGCATGAAATTTTCGGAATCGACTCTAAATCGCATTTCCACCTTATTTTGAGAACAGATTTTTGAATTAGGCCTCCAAAAAAATTTGGCGGCCAAATTCTGAATTTTTCCGGGAAAATTTTGGAATTTGGCCGCCAAATTTTTTTGGAGGCCTAAATCAACAAGAAATGCGGCCGCTTTTCTTTTGTGGATGGCCGCATCAAAAAAAAAAAAAAAATAAAAAAAAAAAAAAAAAAATGCAAAAATCAAAAATTGTATGTTTTTAATAAAATAATAAGGGGTTACATCAACTTTTCAATTTCATTTCCTTTATTAAATTATTATATTGTTATGTATCAATTATGATTTTTTAAAATTTGGCCGAGTTGTCCAAAATTAAACCGGGTCCCCAAACAAAACAACAAGAATCCTAAACAAAGGAAGTGGAAACGCGTTCGATCGTTCATACTGCTACGGAATTTACCATCGAAACCCTCGAAACACCAATGTCAACTTAATACACTGTCGTGAAAAACGCTTGTCGCTAAAACGCTAGTTGACACCTTTATCACAGTTACAAAACTTTTTCACGAAGCATGGTTGTGACATTTTCGATCTTCTTTTGTTAAATAGTTATATGCTCTACAGATATTCGTCAATAGATAGACAAGGTGGTCGGTCGGTGGGTCGGTCGGAGGTCGGTCGGGGCCGGTCCGGCGGTAGGTGAAGCCGGTCGGAGGACGGTCGGAGGTTGGTCGGCGGTGGTTCGGAGGTTGGTCGGAGGTTGGTCGGAGGTCGGTCGGAGGGCCGGTCGGGCGCGGTCGGAGGTCGGTCGGAGGTCGTGGAGGTCGGTCGGAGGTCGGTCGGGCGCCGGTCGGAGGTCGGTCGGAGGTCGATCGGAGGTAGGTCGGGCCGACCATTCTATTACACATTTTGGACTCGAGGTCTCCTGGCCTCCCCTTTGTAAAACACGAGCTCGGGAAGCGGGAGAGCATCGATACGAAGGTATGTATCGAGAATGAGTCGGACCGAAAATGTTCTAAGCTCAAGTTTTTGAGGTGCTCGGGCGCCGGTTCGGAGGTCGGTTGGGCGCCGGTCGGACGGTCGGGTCGGATTGTCGGTCGGAGGTCGGTCGGAGGTCGGTGGGCGGGCGGTCGGAGTTCGGTCGGAGGTCGGTCGGAGGTCGGTCGGAGTTCGGTCGGAGGTCGGTCGTAGGTCGGTTCGGAGGTCGGTTCGGAGGTCGGTCGGAGGTCGGTCGGAGGTCGGTCGGGGCGGTCGGGTCGGTCGGGGGCCGGTTCGGAGGTCGGTCGGGCGCCGAGTCGGAAGTCGGTCGGACCCACGCGAAGAGTGTTCAATTCGAAGAAGGTGGACGACGCTCTGCGAGTGCACTTGACCTCGAATGTCATGTTTGTAGGCCTTGAACAGAAGGGGCTAATCGGCAACAAGACAAAGCAAGCTTATGTGTAGCAGGGACCTTCCACGACTTCTCACTTACCGAAAGTTCTTATGAGATGTATGCTTTCAGTACAGTTTTTATAAGTTTGCGTGCTTAGAGTAATGCTGCTATAATTATATTCAATTTTTTTAATTCAATAGTAATTAATTTTGTGTAGTTAAAATTAAACTATAATAGTTCAAGTGATTATTACTATCGTCAAGACTCAATAGTGAAACTAACTAGTTCAATTTAAGTGATGATAACTAGACATTTAATAATAAAAAGTTCAATGATAGGTGATATCAAATTAAATAAGCTTTTTACTTTCCGTATTTGGCGGGGTCCAACTTGCAAAGGTTTAGTGCAACGTTTTAGTTCCAGCGTATAGTCCTCTCCGACACAGCCATCATATTCTGTTGCCACACCAACCGGACGATGACCACCTGATGCTGCTGGTCAAGGCCTTACGTTTCAGCTCATGTCCAGATAGTCCAGCTCACTATCCGGCCAGCCGCCTTATCACGAAGCGATTGTAGTGCAGAGTTCGATTAGATAGATTGTCCAATAAGATACGATGGACAGTAATGGATCCCGGGAACGTCACACGATAAAAGGCATGGAGTATCAGTAGAGGGTCTTCAGACGGCGTCGTTGGATCGGAGAGCTGGAGTCTCGACCACCCCCCCCCCGGACTTATTGGAACTCGTCAAAAGATGAGCTCGGGCCAACGGAAGGATCAGAATGGAGGCCTAAATGAGCAGCCCAGCAGAGTAATCCCCACTCCAAGCATTTGAAAGAAGCAAGAGCAGCCGCCATTTTTGCGGAGATGATGTTGAAGAGTTTTAAAATATTCTGTACCATAAGTACAAATTAATCGATAGAATTATTAATTTACCTACTATTATATTACATAATAATTATTCTATAACTAATTATTCTATTATTAATCAAAGTTCTTAAACAAGGGATAGTTAATCATAAACCAACGCCCAAGTCTAATCTTTCCTAAAACAAAAACTAAAAAATTAAAACTTCTAGCAAAAATTCCGCATTATCTACGAGTTTAGTAGCTGTTGCCTGGGGCAACCTAGCTCTCAAGTTGTCTTCTCTTCTCATTGAAGTTCTACATCATCAGCATATTCAGTGTCAAGTGGAAGGCGCAATAGTAATCGGGGGGATCGGCCTATCTAATTGATTGTTATGTCCATCTAAGTTCATTCAAAGCACCAGCCAAGACAAGGTGTGAACGAAGCCGGATTAGACGTCACCTTGGAAAGCTCCAAGGAGATTAAAAACTCAGTGAAAGAACCTCCTGTTCCTTCACACGTAGCATTCGTGTTGGACAACAACAACCGGACAATCTCAGCTCTCTCCGTACAGCATCAGTTTACAGGAGTTAAAGACTCGTAGTGCGTTTGATTCGGTGTCAAACGCACTAGGATAGACATATCAATGCCATGCGATGGTTACATCCCATTTTTCCTTTGGACCAATGACAGTAGAACTCGCTGACACCAAAACAATTTCAGCACATGAACGAGCGCGTTTTATATGCACACTGCATGGACCAGTGAAGGCGTCACTTTTATTTATCCTTTTAAGATTAGCCATAGACAGAATTTTTTGGCTGCATTGGACAAGGGGAGTGGAGTTAAATTCTTCAAGGACAATAGGTTTTTTTTGGCTTTCTGTAAGGGTGTTATAGAGCTCACAATGGGATAAGCGGGAAAAGTATGTGGTCTCGAAAACAACTGTTTATGTTCCAGCAAATGTTCATGGACTGTACTATTAGATTACTTAATAGTACTCGTTGGGTATTCATCGGGACCATTTGCCCTCCATTTTTCAAGCTAGGGTTGGCGCATGTATTTCAATCCAGTAAAAGGGGACATTGAGAGCAACGTGGTAGACCTCAAAGGTCGAGAGGTTGCTCATTGCGAGTCAGTGTTTTTCGAGATAGTCTCTAACAACCGTAGCTTTCTGTCGTCGGATGCAATCAATAACAGCCATTTCATCATGAACACAATCGAGTTTATAGGTGGTTTACTTTTCTGAAGATGTCTTACTGCTTCAAACATTTTCCTTGAATCGTTTGGGTTAGTAATATACTATAGGTCTGATCAGCTTGAGCAGTCCTCACTTCAACTAATCTTTTATGGATGCTATTAGTGAGGTGGTTGATGGATGACCTCAATGTCGTTCGATCTAGAGATTGATTATTGTTAAGTGCTGTCGGAGATCGTTGACGTTTTCAACAGCTTCTTTGAGGCGTGTCTATCATGCTGTTGATTGTTTCAGCGAGCTTTTGGTTTTTTTTTGGGCGATGGAAACATTGGCAGCATCACGAATATGAGACATAAGATTTTGAAGGTCGGCATTTGGATCGTTGCTGGTCCTCAAATTGAGGAACTTGCCTTCAAGGGCCACCAAGTGATATTTTGTTGCATATCTTTGTTGCTTACAAGTTCTGATATATTTTAGACGGAACACGACGTTGCTTTAGGTTTGAAACAAAGATGAATGTTGCTAAAACTTGATGGAGCAATGGAAAGTTATGATGAAATGTTTTTATACCAGGCATAAGTATCTTGATTGAGTCAAAAGACACTTAGATCTATTTTCGGCATAGTATGTATCTATTTGAGAGTATACCCAGGCGTGTCTTCTTACTGTTACGACCAGCCGACCACTCCTTCCGCAACCAGTAAATGATGAAACACGTCAGCTAGGGTTGTATAAAAACTAGTGTTCACAGCAAACAGATTATTTTCCTGAGATAAAATCCAGTAATCTAGAACCATTTTCGTTCTTACCCATTCGTTATTCCCATGTATATACCAAAACCCTGTTCAATATTTTTTTTTTTTTTTCCAAAAGGACGGGGATAATTTACCCAATTTTGAATTTAAAGTACCAGAAATTGCAACTCCAATTAGAGGGTACATTT